TTATTTTGCAATATCCATATGACTAATACTAATATACTTGCTAACCTCCGGAGCTTAGGATATAATATTCCTAATCTACGACTATTACAGCAAGCTTGCCGGGCTATAGGCCTTTGATATTAAATGCTTAGTTCGCAAGTTGAGCTAGAAAAGGAGTAACTTTGCTATATCCTCAAATAACATATAGTAGATAAAGGCCCGCAAGGCAATACTAGAAGCTATGGCTACCGGCTTCTATATACTTATCTTAACTCCTTAGGGAATGGCCAGAAGTTTTCTAGGAATAGAATAGCTTCTGTAATACAGGAACTTGATCCAGAAAACATATAGTATTATTTGGAAGAGATAAAGGCAGCTAGGGGGGAATATAATATTTATAGGCCGAACTTTATTTAGTTAATTAATGGCTATTACAAGATAAGTATAGTATATACTTAACTTCAAAAATCATTATCTTAATAACTACTAATCCGTTTACTTAGCTGCGATTTTATAGGATTGAGATATATACCGGTATTAATACCTACTTACGGTTTGTATCTTGGATTTATATTAGAATCTCAAATAGTTATACTATAAGTAGTAGTATTTCCTAATTTGGTACAGATATATCCCCTTAAAAATACCAAAATTCACTTAGTCGTAATTCCGGCTATATAATTCTATAGTATTACAGAGAACCAGTTATTTGAATTAAGCTTAATTTAGGTAATAAAACCCCTAAATCTCTATACTATATTCTTCTTTAGGCTAATTAATATTATACTAATATATACTTACTTATCCTACTCTCTAGGTTACTATCCTAGTATAATACCTTAATTTAATAGAAGAAATAGAGGTTATTCCACTCTATATTCGATTGGATAAAAAATACAAAATACCCATAGTTACTAATACCTATTATATCCTCTATAAAGCGATATACCAAACAAGGGGTATTAATCTATATTAGTTCTCAGATCTCTATTAGTTCGGGACTAGTACGGCTAATTAATATATTAAGGCATAGTAGGAACAAGTTATAAAGGTAATTTATCTATACTAATTCTATAGAAACCTATTTAATTAATTAATATTTTATATAAGGTATACTAAATAAATGGAAGATATTTTTCAAGTATCTATACTCTCAAAGGCTTTACTCTTATAAGCTTTTACCCGACTGTATTACTATGCTTTTTGTCTATTTACCTATTATACGAGAGTAAACTAAGGAGTTTATAAGGGTATAAAATATATATTTAATTAGGAAATAGCCTAATCGTCTATATATTATTCCTGGGTAACCCTTCCAGAACTATATGTTTTCAGAGCAGATAGGGGTCAGGGACTATAGTATTCCTATTAATATTAATAAACTAAACGAGCTATATAAAGGATATACTAGCTATAATAAAGACGTATATTTACCGGAGGTTATACTTGAATAGTATAAGCAAGAGCTTAAGGATACCGGCTTTATTCTCCTAATTACGGAGACTATATATAACCCGAATAGAGATCTAAACCACCCGAGTATATATATATATATCTAAGAGAATTAATTAATAACTACCTAATTAATACGAAGAATACTCGTCCAAAGCTAGGGCTTTTATTAATACCCAAGGGTATATATAATTAGAATCTATTACTAGAGGTAGCTATAGGACTAGAAGAGGCAAGGCTAAAGAATTATAATAATTAGGATAGTATTTAGTTTATTAATAAAGGGAGAAACACTAGCTATAGAGATAAAAATCTCAATTATATTAGCTCTAAAAACAAAAAAGCAAAGGTTAAAAACGAAGCGGAGATTAAAGACGAAGCGGAGGTTAAAGATAATACGAAGGATACTAGATTTACTATAGATAGTATTACTTTTAATAGGGCAAGTGGCAATTAGGTTATAAATAGTCAAGAGTATAGACAGTTTATAGATAATAGATATATATCTGAGGCTAAAATAGAGAAGGAAAATAATCTAGAAATTCCTCCTATAAATATTATATGGTTTACCTGGTATTAGAGAAGCTAAATAGAGGCATATTAATATATATCCTAAAGAAAGAACTAGCTAAAAACATTAATATTTACAGAAGTTAATAGTAATTTGCTTAATTAGTGAAATTCATATAGTTATAGGATATTAAAAGATTATATAATTTACCTCCTCAGAAAATCGACCCTTACCCCTTTATTTTCTATATCCCCTATAATTATTCTATTAACTTATTATTTTAGTAGTAAGGACTCTATAGTATAAATCAAGTTCTTTCTTAATACTAGCTCTATTAAATTAATAGTTCTTGAGAACTTTTAAAATAATTACAAGATATATTTAATAAAAATGTCTCTTTTCATATGGAATTTAATTTCCCCCCCTTAATTTCTATAGCCCCTTACTCAATATTCTATAGCCCCTAGTATAGGAAACCATAGTTTATATAGGAATAATACTAGGGATAAATAAAATATATCCGAATTTAACTTATACTAAGGGGCATCCCTTATAGTCCTTCTATTTACCCCTTTTTATATATTAGTAATACGCTACTATTAATAACCTCCAAAATAAGTCTCTAATATATAAATTCCTTAGGGAAAAAGTTATAGGAATATAGGCTAAAGGGTTAAAATAATATTAATATATTATAATTCTATCTTACTAGTTAACTTCATACTACTATTTACTAAACTATAGATTTATTAGTTATACTCTTCTTCTAATATTTAATTATAAATCAGATCCTTATTATATTATCCCCAAATGTTTCTAATAGATAATCTCAATCTATAGAACTCTTATTTTATACGGGAGGCATTACATCCCCCCTCTATAGTAAAGTGTCTACTATACGGTACAATTAACCTAGCTACTCCTCCTCCTATACCTATTACTCCTACTTCAGCTATACCGACTATTATATTAGATAGTATACCATTTTCTAGTCAAACTCAACTTTAGAATACTGCCGCTCAGCTATTAAGAGATTAAGGAATTAATATCTCAGCTAATTCCTATCCTTTTTACTACCTCCCGGGTATGGATCTCTCAGAGGAGGCCCTTAAGGAAGAAGTACATAAGAGGAGATAGCAGGCTAAGCTCGAACGTTTAGAGCAATTATATAGTAATTTCTATTAGGAAGCTCAAGGCAAAGATATATATCCATCTATTTAATTCCTATATTAATACTAATTTTATTAGATTCGGCCCAGAAAAGGGGTAAAGCCTTTGGATCCCTTACTCTCGGCCAGGGGGTACGTATAAGGGCCTTTAGTAAGGATAAATTAATGATTCCTCCTGCTCCTATTATCGAAAAACGATATAAGGCCCTTATTTCTATTATATTACATATATATGAAATAGAAGAACTAGAGAATAGCTTTACTAGAAGGAGTATACCTGCTTCGACTATAAAGAAGTTCCTTAGCTTAGAAGAATACCGGAAGGCTCAGACTATTTAACTTAAACTATAGATAGTTAAATAGATTAATACATATATAAAGCTTACTTATAGAAATACCTCTTTACTAATATAGTTTTATATTCTAGTCAAAAACTATTATATAAGAATTTTGCTATATATTTAGCTAAGGCTTTTTTATTATTAATTCCATTACTTGAACCCTAGGAGCTTAATTAATAAATTACGATCTTGGAACGTATAAATATAGTCTCTTTTATAAGTAAAGTAAGCTATTATTTACTAGTATCCTAATAAAATTAGTACTAATATAAATAAATAGGTTTGGCCAAGAGACAAAAACAAGAGAATTGACCATATAACTAGCCAGATATTTAAAGCTGAAAAGGATATTAATAGCTTATTATCTTATTTTAACTAATTAAATAGGAATACGCCAAAGTATATTTATCTTATATTTAATCAAGATATTAATATAATTCAGGAAAGAGATAACGAGATTCAGGATAAGTATAAAAGAGCTAATAGGGATATACCTTTCCTAGATTATAGCCCTTTATTAGGAGGCTCTCCTAATACTACCCCCAATATAATATCTATATCTACAGATATATCTATAGTATCTTCTTTCCCTGCTTCGACTTCTAATCGACAGATCGAAGCCCTATAGGAGAAGGTTACTCCTTTAAAGAATGGGTCAGGTAACGACTTGAATTCTAATGATTTTAATTCGGACGATATGCCTATACTAGAAGCTAGAATTACGGTTTCTCCTGCTCCTGATCCTACTCCTGCTCCTGCTCCTGCTTCTATACCTAGTAAGTTAATAGATTTAAATATACTAGTAGATCTGACGTTTTTACTAGCCTTCGCTCCCGCTCCACCCACTAAACCTCTACTGAAGTCTATATTAAAGAGGAAGCGATAAGTGGAAGTGACTATATCAAGCGATAATGACGATAATAGATCAGATCTTGATAATAGAGGGAAGGAATTACCAGGGGATGATGATTATAGGCCGGGAAATAGGTCAATATGTAGGGATAATCGGGGGCAGTTCAAAAAAGCGAGAACAGAGTAATAGTACCGGGCGCATTCGACTACAATACATGGGAATTGCGTATTTAGCCATTATTAGGTGTGTTTTCTATATAAAATGTGGCCATTAAAAAAATCTCGATTCATAATTCTCATTTTGCGATTGCGAAAAAATTATAGTTGCCGTAGCGTCCTTAAATCAACCCGTACGTACTCGTTGCCATTGTTCTTTTGCTTCGGTTTAAATTTGTGACTATTGATTGGAGATCTCGTTTGATTAATTGAGGACTATGTCTCGCGAGTTTCGTATTTGGAGATACGAGATACGATGGGCAGTTTGATGCATGCTCTAGCTGGTCTAGCTCTTCGAGTAGGAAACCTAGTACCTTGTAGGAGATACAAGAATCCTTCCAGTCCATAGGTGAGACGGGTCTGGCTTTTTCGGTCATCGACAGGGTGGCAAAAGGTATAAAGGGATGATGCTCCCTCCTTAAGAACGTCCTCCATCATCCATCAGCACTGCCCATTTCACTCCCACCTTTCCAACAGCACCTCAAGTACTCAGAGCGACTTCCTCATCATTTTCATAAACATGAAGTTCACACGCACCACTATGATTATAGCACTCGCCACTGCCGCCGTGGCTCGTAATTGCACGCCTGGCCTGAAATACTGCGGCCGTACCCTCCTCGATATCGGTACGTGATCCACCTCCAGATCTCGGTCCTTTAAAGCTAAATATGCCCAGGAAACTATGCAGACCAGATCGCTCAAGCACTTGCTGATTCAAACAAAGGGGATTCAAACGGTGGACGAGATGACTTGTTTAATTGCATTGGCGGATCGAGTGGTGTGATTAAATTTGAGTCTATCTGTAGCAATGGATGTGCTACTGAGCCTGCTGGTGTCAGCGACAAATGCAACTGATGTTTATCTCTGGACTTTCGAAGGGGTGAGGTGGCAGATAGATGTGAAGCGCGCGGGAGAGGGTGTGCTGATTAGGAGAAAAGAGGGAGGAATTAGAAAACAAGGGCACTCTATCAAATTTGAATACACTCATTTTGCCTGATTCACGGTATGATCCGTCTATAAGGGCGTTAGGTTCAGTGACTGCTATGCTTGGTTACTTGTATGCCATCCTGTCGCTCTCTCGACCAAGCTTTTAGTAAAGAGCTTAGAGTCATCTAAGAGCTTCCCACGCCTCTATAAATATATATGGAGCCGCGTAAAGTATATAGCATTGGGGGTATAGAATAGATTCTTGCATATAACTCTTTTTTGAATATAGTAATAATTAGATTAATATTTAAACTTATTAAATAATATAATATAAAGAGCTAGCTTTATTATTTAAAAATAATATAAAATAATATTAAATACTTAAGAAATAAATAAATATTAGAGTTTTTTTTAAGTAATATATAATTATTAAATATTTTAGTTTTATTTTATAAAAAAAGGGGGGATTTTGAACTAAAATCTCTCTTTTATAAGCCTTATAGGCTTCTTTTAAATTCTCTAGTTATATATTATATAATAAAATTATTATTAAGTTTAATACTTTTCTTAAATTAAAATTATTTAAATATTAGTTCTTTTATTATAATAAGCTTGTAAAACTATTAATAAAAAAAGAATATTTAGTAAATAATTAATATTTTTCTTATATGCTTTTATTTTTAAAATTATTTTAAGCCTTTTTATATTTTATTAATTAAATATTAAAAAAGAAATAAAAGACTTATTAATATATTATTAATATATAATAAAGGCGCTTTAAAAGATCTTGTTATATAATAATAGTAATAATATAATAAGAACATATAATTAAATGAATAATTATTTAGCTTACTTTTAAAACTTATATAAATTAAAGAATAAAAGGCTTTATTATTAATTATTTTAAGAAATTATTATTAAACTTTATAACTGGCTTACTTATTTATGATTTTTGACTTTTCATATTATTACGAAAGTATTAATTCCTTTTTTGCTTATTATATTATTATAAGGCTATTCTTAAGATAGCTAATTTAATAAAATAAAACGTAGTATACAACTTAGTATTAGAGACATCCTTAATACCTTCATGACTCGTAGGGTCTAAATTTTCGTAGTTCTCAGCAATACGAATCACTTCTGCTTAAAGTTCAACGTACTCAACTTCTTCTCATTCTTGGTTTTCATCTTCAAAGTAGTGATCAAATGCTGCGACGTCCAGCTGAAGTTTATCTCCAGAGTCAACACCAATCCCTCAGCCCCATATCTCCAAACTCCCACCCACTCGCACTCACACTCACCTCCCAGTAAGGAATAACCGCCACACTACTCACGAGCCCGTAAGCCGCAACTCCGGGTGCTTCTATCTGACTCTGAGCAAACTTCCCACTGCTCTCCACGCCACTCCAAATGGCTCTCAGCGCATTCCCCAATGGCGTACTCACCACAACCTCTACAATATTGACCCCGTTTTGCAAATAGCTTGATATATCTGCGCGCGCCCAGGCGACGTCGAGTGCAGGGAGGACATGCCCATTGACACTAACTCTAGCCGTGTGGACAATCATGCCGAGATCAAGAAACGCGCCATTGTGGTTATTTGTTGGAGGGCGGTTAAAAACAATTTCCTGAGGAGCATTCAGACGGGGCGCGGTCGCAGGAGGCCAGACAAAGGAAGTCGAGTAGTATCCGCGGCCGGAGACGGTTTCAAGAGAGGAGGAGAGTTCATTCCACGGCAACAAGGTTTGGATACCGAAGATGGTAGTGAGATTGGAGCGTGCTGCGACAGGGTTGAGATCGAACGGATTAGAAGGTGAGGTCCAGGATTCGATCGTGAGGCTCCAGTTTGAGAGATGGAATGCTGGTGTGAGCCCTTGCACTGGTGGCAAGGTTGTGGTTTTCCCAGTTGAGAGTTGAAGTTTGATTAGACTCGTTGAGGCCGAAGTGAGGAGTACTGACAGTGCATTCAAAGATGAGCCAGATCTGATATTGAGAATTGAAGCGGGGATGGAGTCAGTTTGTACATACAGCTCTCTATTCTCCCCGCCAGAATTCTTGAAAGCGAGGACCGTAGATTGACTACCAGCGAGTTGGAGCGGGATTGTAGTGTGTGTTGACGATTGTTCGTAAACGAGGACTGGTGTAATTTCTCCTGTCCAGGTGTCGTAGGTATATGGTACACCTGTTGTTTCAAAGCTGATAGATCCAGACGAGAAGATTTGGCCGGCATTAAACACGTACACGTAATCAGTGCTAGAGTGAGAACGCCAGGTTGTATACCAAGTCCCATTCCCACTCACAGCCGTCCTCGGAGTGATCTTGATCTTCGCCAGCATATCAGCGAGTCCCACGCCAGGAGGGGTAACATGTACGTTCCTTAATAATGTTAGACGGGATATCGTTGCGTTGGCAGAGGCGTAGCCATCTTGATTATAGCCCTGGAACTTGGACGGTAATCCGCCGTAGAATATGATGGGGAGACCAGCAATGGCGTATTCGGAAAGCTTAATTACTCCAGGTCCAGTTAAGATCTCATTAACTCCTACGACCATGGCATTGAATTGCTGGCGCTGAGGCGCCAAGATTCCGTCCAAGACATATGCTGCTGGGAGAGCGAAATTATCGGGACTGAGGTACTGGTAGGAAAAGCCTAGAAATATCAACTGAAATCAATCGAACTGTAGAGAGAGGAACATACCAGCTGTTAAAAGATCATCTGTTGTGTATTTAGGCAGAATTTGTCTATGATCCGTCGACTTCGCCCAGAACACTAAATCGATTTTTGGTATTCCAGTTTGTGCAACCCATTGGTTCCGGGATAGCCAGCCGAACCAGTCCGAGTAGAAGTCCCATCCTGGAAGATGGGGTCCATGCATTTCAGAAAACATGTAATCAAATGTCGTGAAGCCCGGCCAAGTAGTATTGCCATAATTTCCTGAATATGGGTAGCCATGGACAATAAAATTATTCACACCACCGGCGATCGATCCTTTAAAACCGGACAGGAGATCTGGGATGGATTGTTGGTATGTTTGGCCGAAACCGGCGCCCGATTCGGACGAGATTATGCGTTTGCCTGCAAGATTTGCTAGTCCTGCGAATTGTCTGTAGGCGTCTATGCTGCCGTCAAATGCTAATGTTTCGCATTCTGGTCCATTGACATACGGGATGTTTGCTAGCATATCCATTGGTAAGTTGTACACAACTTGAGCTGAGAATTGAATCCCTAGAGTTCGTTGCGCCCAGTTGGTCAAGGTTTGAAGGTAGATTGCGTTTAACTCTGTAAGCTGTTCTAAATCAGCAAGTGTCCAAATCCGAAAAACGATCTAGGCATACTGTTTGACGATAATCTGCAATATGGCTTGATCCAGAATCCGGCTCGTCGGTAACATAAAGAGCACTAGGCGTGGAGCTTGCCAATGTATTTATCAGGAGAGGGATATATTTGTTGACGTTGTAACCGCGATTTGCCGAAAAGGTATCCGGCAACCCCGGAGTCCAAAAGGTGTTCTCTAAGAAGAAAAATTCCTGACTATCTTCCCAAACATAGTTGCCGACTTTCTTGATGAGATTTATCGTCGAGGGGTCCAGCAGATGATTTTGCCAGTAGTCGATCAGGGTTTGTGCTCCTAGAGCCGAGAAGTGGTCTACCACCCACGATCCATTTTGCTCATAGATTTTGATGGGTGACTGGGGCACAGCGGCCATCACAGAATCCTGTGCTTGCACCTCTGGATAGTGTGAATGCTTCAGATAATATGCGAACAAGCGATTCTCTATACCGGTTTGGTTGGAAGGAGAATTTATTCTGACGTGACCGTTGCCATCTACCAATTTTGTGACATCGTTGAGGGAGGTTTGAGAAAGCGTGATTGTTGATGCAGTAGCATTCAAAACCAGACCTGTTGAAGCAGCCACCAAGGTGCCTGAATTCCAACCAGGAAGCACACCGTCAAAAGTTCCTCCAATGGGTATGGAAACCTCAAAGAAAAATAGATCCCACAGTAGACCATCGGATTCGGAGGGAGCTGGAACTCCTGCTCCTTGATTTGGACCAAGAGCCAAGTCCACCACAAGTCCTTCCTCTTGGGCTGTCTGTAGCACAACCGTTTGTAGATTTTCTTTCCCTTAGTGTCAGCAATACAACTATATCGCAACGGAAAGAGAATCTCACTCCAAGCAGGACTTCCAAAGTAATTAACCGTCCAATCTGATTGAAGCAAGCTAAAATTCCCGGGGAAAATCTGAACATTTCCATAGAGATAATAACCCAAGAGTTCAACTCCACCCGCACCTACTCTTCCCACGTCCCTGATATCATTTGCTACTTGACTTGAATTGACAGATGCGTCAGGCAGCCAATACCGAAATCGTGGTCGTACAATTGCGGATGGGGCTTGAAATGTTCCATAGTCGACATTGACGTTCACTTGGTCATTCGTTCCCATGGCATAGGTGAGTCGGGATTGAAGGGTCAAAGTAGTAAGGAAAAGTGCTATGGAGCAGGCCATGGCGATTTGGTACAAACCCCTTGCAGCCGTAACGCGCAGATACACAGGACCTCTTGGTCGTGTTAATAGAACTTTTTTACTTGGAACATCAAGTTACCCCAGGGCTGAGGCGAACCTCCTTGGGACAAAGCAAGTGCTACGTTTCCAACTTTTTCTTTAAGGAACACAAGAGAGGTTCGGTTGAAAGATGTGGATAATCTCGCGAAGGTTTTGCGCGATTTGCGCGAGAATGTTTAGTGGGGTTTTGGTTAAATGGATTGCCGCCAGAGGATCCGAGCGCATCCGAAGCTAACCGAGCCCACATTACATAGCGCCATGTGATCATCCCATTGCTAGACAGATTGTGGGGATGCGGGGCAAAACTGGGGTAAGAGGGAAGCCAGTAGAAATGCATCCAAGTCTCGACCATACGAAAAAACATCGCGAGTTAAATGCCCGAAAAAGCGGATGAGTTCAAGATCCTGGCACTTTATTTCCGACTATGATGCCGCAGGGTGATCCTGAATCTCCCGTATTCCCAGCCATCACCACTTTCAAACTTGACCCACCTCACTAAACGAGATAGATTTGGAAAGTAAAGTCTCGGTTCGATGATAAGGTGCATCAAAAATGAGAGTGACAAGGGTCACTCAGTATCAAAAAGCACTCGGAATCTGTTTGTGCAATGTTCTCCATGACATTGGGGCTGTTGATTCCCTCATCTGCCTCCATGTGACAGTCCCTGTGCTTATACTTGGTAGAATACTCACCAGAGTGCTTCCTGCCTCCTATCCCTCAAAATGATGCGAATTTCCTGTCAATCACGCCGCTCTACTCCGTCTTTGCCCAAAACTCGCAAACCCACTTGACCCCACTATGTACTGGGCAAACAGCCTCCATAGTAACCTCCTCAACTTTTTCGAAGCATTCCGGGATACCACCCACCTCCTCCGTGACCAAGACCTCATCAAAGGCGTGATCCGGCCAGCGTCTTCTCTTCTCATGCTTCATCTCGACGAAATATCGACCCGGCGCTGCTTGCTGCCACTTCACCACCTGAGCCACCTCCTTTTCCTCCTCTTTCCCCTTCCGATCAGATCTCAGCGCAAACCTCCTCTTCTTTCTGTGTGAAGACGTTGGTGGTGACTTTGGGGCTTCGTCTGAATGGTAGCGCAAGACTTTGACAAGATATTCTGCACGTGCCGGCCATGTGAGATTCTCAAAGACCGGGACGCAGTTGCCCTGCGAATAGTCCGCGCAGTAGTCTAAGAAGTTGTAGAGACGTCCCCATTGGAGAATTGAGGTAGTGGTGCCGAGTTTGCAAGCGTAATTAGGATCTTTTGGTATGACGGAAGTGCAGCAGAAGACGGGACGGACTGATTCTGGTCCTGGGAAGATCAGGGTGCGCATCGTGGATGGCTGGACCGAAGATGGTTGGCTAGACAGTTGTCGTAATGGATCAGCTGCATCGTCCATATAGTGGCGGTGGGGAAATTGTTACCTTTCGACGTCTGTGTCAGACTCTTGCTTGACAGTGGAGGGAGTCGATGACTTGGCAAGCCTGCGCTTGGGACTCTTCTGCGGCCTTGAGCTATAAGTACGCACAGTCAATTCGTCTGCTGCCAGAATGTATGTCATTGTTGTAAATACGCTGAACACGCTGTGCATTCAATGTCGTGGAGGAGGATGATTGCGATCCTGACTGGAGTCGCCGGCTTTGGTAATTGCAGAACTGGCGCGGTTTTAAAGTGGCTATCAGAGGCGGACTTGAGCAATTCCCAGCTGATGAAATGGGACGATTGTCCTAGGAGGCCGACAGAGGGTGGAACGATTCAATTGAGTATTTAGGGCCAGCTTGCAAGCCGGGACAAAACTGTCTCACAGTTTGCGACTCAGTTGGCCCCTGCCGGATTCGGCAAGCGAGACAGGACAAAGGACTAATCACTATATTCGTTGAGAAAATTGTGAAGACCTTAAATACACAAAGGAAGCTTCCTTGGGTTATTCAAATGCGTTTTAATGGAAAGCACATATCGAAATCGTGCCCATAGCCAAAGGCAGGACGATTGGCGTGACGGATTTTCAGTCCAGTTTAATACCCTGCTACCCTTGGCGACTAGCTCCAAACATGCGAACTTGGCTTTCTTCATAACTGAGATGGCTTTCTGTTTGAGGATTTTATAGTATCCCTTTAGCTGAATTTGCAATCACAAAGTTAGAAATGTTTTCCAAGTGCTCGTAATTGTCAAAGCGCATGATTAAGCGAGTCGAAAAGGGGGGACTGTTCCCATGTTCTGGAGTGATTTTGGCCAAATGACAGCTTCAAAGCATTCCGAGGAACAAACCTGAAATACCCAAAGAGGGGAAGTAGACCAGGAACCGCGTTCGGAATCTAGGGTGGTTGTGGTTCATAAATTCTTATCCATCAAAGTTCAGTTCTGTGATGCAAGATCCCGAGTGCCACGGTGCATATGCTGCAAGTGCTTCGAAAACTACATCCCTGCCTTTAGAGCAAGCAGCTGAAGACCCAGTGTTCAAATTGCCATGTCTAGGACAATACATATTTATTTTGTTAATCTCAATCACTGCAGGCTCCAAATTACTTTGCTTTCGCACAGAGGGAGCGACGCTACAAGTTGACAACAATATTATGACAAAGAGATGCTCCTGAGAGGACAGGCAAAATATCAAGAAAGGACGTGACCAAGCCAGAACGAGTGATTCTCGTGGCTCCAATAATGCGGCTGCTCCAGCAAGCTGCATCCTCGACCGCGCAAGCCACTATATACGCGATTCGACAGCCAGAAGGTTTCAGCTGTCACATTAACCAATTGACCACAACGCCCCCAACCTCCCACGGCAGCTGATACTGGAGGTAACCCAAAGCGGATATTCAGTACGACGATTAAATTCCTGAATTTGCCGATTGGGGTGCTAAGATGCCTTGCTGGCGAAGTGGTGGATGAAGTAGGGCTGGAGTGGCGCCAAGACGCGGGAGACTGAGACTCCCCTCGCTCAGTCCGACACCGCCTTCTTAACGAGAATTATAACATCAAGTCTAAAGACTCGGGTCTGTGCATCTCTCATATTCATCTAAGTAATGTCTTTTGCCCTCAAGTGTAGCACAACATGGCGAGTCTCGAGGTTCCCGGGAATCAAACAACGGATAAAAGGGCAAGCCATGCTCTATCGATTGAAATGTCTATTCGGTCAATTGCCAGAATAGTACCTCCTGGATCTCGTACATTATGGGCAATGGCAAAGATGCTAGGAAACTCTGCAACGAGAAAAGGATCACCGGTCATCGAGAACAGTTTCCCTAATCCATTTGGTATCAACGAACCTGAATTTCCTCCCGATGTCACCTCAAAACAAGCGTCCGAGTTGGATCCAGAGAAAGCTATTTCCTCGACCGGGATTCAGAAAGAAAAGGTTCCACCATGCGATAGCGGACGTAGAGCTTGGGCGTGTTTACTAGGTGCCGCTACCATCGAAGGCTTGATGTGGGGTATGTTTGCCCTTGCGATTCCAGCACTTGAAGCTGACCCATTTTGAGGCTTTCCCATGACATTCGGAGTCTTTCAATCGTACCTCCAGACTCATCCACCCTTTGAAAACAATCGATATATTCCCGTAGTCGGAGTTTTGGCAACAGTACGTCATGTCTCAGCTCCCTATGAAATCTAACTGATGTCTGTAAGGGGATATCGTACCTCGGAAACCCTCTCATCACACCAATCACAATCAAATACCAAAAGTACCAACGACACATGATATGCTTCGGCTGGCTGATCTGCATCGTGGCTCTTCTCGCAAGCAGTTTTGCCACAAAACTCTGGCACCTTATGTTCACGCAAGGATTCCTGTACGGTGTCGGTATAGTCTTGCTTTACTTTCCCGTGCTCAGCATGGTGAACGAATGGTTTATTAAGAGGCGAGGATTAGCTTACGGAATCATGTAAGTTGTTCTCAAATCTCAAGAGCCGCTACTGATAAGATCAGGTTCGGATCAGCCGGTGCTTTTGGTCTCGCGCTCCCCTTCGTCGTAGAACGACTCCTCCACAGCTACGGCTACGCAACGACCGTTCGCGCATTCGCCATTGGAATAGTTCGTCCCCCTTTCCCTTCTTCTCCTCCCACGCTAATATCCACCCAGTTCATCCTCGTTGGCCCGATGCTCCCCCTCCTAAAACCCCGCCTCCTACCCCTCGTCCACACCAATACCCCTTCCGAAACAACCCTCGACACCACAGTCTTCACCAACCCACTCTTCTACTCCGCCTCCCTCTCCAACATCTTCCAAGGCCTTGCTTTCTTCCTCCCATTCGTCTACCTCCCGTCCTACGCCCACGACATCGGCTTAAACAACGCACAATCAACACTAGCCCTCTCCTTCCTAAACACCTCCCAAATAATCGGCCAAATAGGCATCGGCTACCTCTCCGACCACCACTCCATCTACATACCTCTCTTCCTATCCCCTTTCTTCTCCGCCCTCTGTACCTTTCTGCTCTGGGGTTTCGCCAAATCTTTTTCCCCACTCACCATCTTCTCTATCCTGTACGGCATCTTTTCGGGTGGTTATTCGGTGTTGTATTGTCGATTTGCTACGAGCCTTGCGAGTACGGAGGAGTTGATAGGGGTTGAGGGGAGGGGCAGCGGAGTGGAAAGGGGCAGCCAGAGAGCAACGGGTCTTTGGCTTTACAGCATTTTTGACTTTCAGAGGGGAGTGGGGAATATTGTTGGGGGTGTGGTGAGTGGGGTTCTTGTTAAGGGAGGGGTTGTGGAGGTGAGTTATGGGGTGAGGAGGTATCAGTGGCTTGTGGTATTGGTGGGTGGCAGTATGTTTGTTAGTTGTTTGGGTGGATTTGGATGGTTTGTTAAGGATAGAAGGTTGACGTTAAGGTGGAGGGGTGGGAAGGAGAGAAAACCTAAAGCTATGGGATGAAAATACATGCATGTGACGAGCTGGAGTCTAGGAGAATTGCAATCTTGTATTTTTTTGAATTAAATTATTCTTATTCAAGGGGCATAAGTGAAGGAATGGAAGCTGCTGAATAGAAAGTCTATCTAGCACCGATACAGAACCGCTAAATCACCGTGAATCCAATCTCCAACCTCACATCCCGTACCGACAAACCTAAATCCACCATAGCCTAAATTCATCACAAGGAAAAGAAGCGCCGCTTGAACATCCCCCACACCCAAATTAATGAGAAGCGACCTCAAATCACATCACAAGCCCACTCAAACACTTAACGTCCCTCCTCTCTTTCTCCCCCATCTTTACAACCCTCTCCGTCTCCGCCCTCTCAGGACTACTTCTCAGAAACCCCTCTTGATCATAAAGCCCCAAACTCGCCGGCCTTCCACCCCTCCCCAAATTCTCCTTATCCCCATCCAACACTCTCTGTCCCGCCAACACCATACTCCCCAGCCCTAGACCCCATTTCGGGGGCGTCTTCGGACTCGGATGTTCCATCCTACTCTCACGTCTAATGACCCCATGTTTCGGCTTCGACATCGCAGCAGACCACCGCTCTTCGCCCGCCCCTACACTTACGTCACCTGCCACTACTTCCACAGCCCTCACGCTCAAGCCCTTCCTAGGCGTACCATCCCCCACTCCCCGTGTTTGATTCTCCCTCGGTGGAGTCACCCCATTCGTACCCTCCCTCGACAACGTCGGGAACCTGAGGCGTACAATCCCAATCGCATTCTCACCCGTAGCCGGAGAACTAACCTCCTTCACAGGCGTCAACTCATTCGTCGCCCTTTCCTCTCTCTCCAACTCTTCATTCCGTCGTTTCCTGCGCTCTTTGTACACTCTGTGTGAATCTCGCTTGTCGACGACTCTTTGTTTTGCTTGCTCCACTTTGTATTTATCTTCCTTGGCGACGAGATTCGAACTCCCGAGTGAGAGATAATGTTTGGAGGAAGGGCGCGAGCGTTTACGTTCCTCGAATTGTCCGAGGTGCGACACTGAGCCGTAGCGGGGTAGGGTAGGAGAGTTTGCCTCAGAGAGCGAGGAAGCGGTGGAGTAGTGCGATACTTCACTGTTCATGCGGCGCAAGAGAGCGACGCTGGATGCTACGGAGATTCGCTGTGGTGAGTTGTTGTTATTGTTGTCTGGGGAGTTGTTACGAATGTGATTGAAAATTTGGGGTTCTGGTCGGGGGCCAGAGAGATGAGTTGGCGTGGAGAGCGTGAGGAGTGGTGGTGCCGCTGTTGCTGAGGAGTGGAGTTGCACGCCTCCACTTGACATAGAGAAGTCTATGCTTGGTAGAGGTCTGCCGGAAGGAGGAGTGAGAATTGGCGTCGGCGAGTTCGACAGAGAAGGAGGCGGGAACGAGGTTAATTGGATTTGGCGCTCTTGCTGCGACTGATGTGTGGGAAACAATGAGAGATCAGAGGAGTAGTTGAGTCCGTTGCGTCGCGATTTGAGGGCTGGCTTATCGACTTGCTTCGGGCCCCTGCCGCGGAAGAACTCGTCTTCTGAGGTGCCGCCATTCTCCGTATAGTAGTTGTAGACTGATAGCGTTGGGCTGTGGACCTGGCCCTTGCGGATATCTTCTAGACCGAGTGTGGGCGAGTCATCTTCAGATCGCGAGACCGGGGCCGGGATTTTCATTGTGGGGTTGAAGATTGCCGATGATGGGGGACGAGTGCTCAGTCTGGAACCAGGAGATGGTGACTTGTTTTTCATGGGCTCCAACCTGCGGATTGCTGGAAGTCGAGGACTCTCCAGGACCAGGGGAGAATCTTCATCCTCTTCCTCAGGCACAATCTCAACAAAGCTCAGCGGTCGAGGCACTGACATTCGAACAACATGCGATCGCTTGTGGCCCTTGCGGCGCTGACTAGGTCGCTTGCTGACGGGACTGGTCTGCGTAGCTCGTGTTTGCATTGCTTCTTGGGGCGACCATTGGAACGGATTCGGTGCGGTGCTTTCAGCCTGAGAGTTCTTTGGTGTATGCTGCATGTTTCCCGAAACATCTTTAAGTGGAGAGCAGAAGCTCTGCGGTCTTTCGAAAGTCGCTTCTTGGCCAAAAGTGGCTTTGCGAATGTAGAGTGGGGGTTGCGGTCTCGGCCCTTGGATCTGGGGATTTGGCATGACTGGTTTCGAGCTTTTGACGGATGAGTAAAACGGATCGCTGGCCAAAGAGATTCGTTGGATTCCCTTCTTCTGCCTAAGAGGATCTTGACCGCCAATGGCCTCGAGAGAAGGCCTTGTGTCGTTGTGGATCATCACAGAAATATCCTTAACGTTGTCCGCCAAAAACTGTGCTTGTTGTCTTCTCTCGCCACGCAGGTGTTTACTGGGTGAAGTAAGTGAAGCCGGGATCACCACATCTGGGGTCTTGGCACCACAAAGACTATCGCGAGATTCGTTTGAAGGCGTCGGAGAATTAGGACGAGGAGGAACAGGTTGACTCCTCCGCAGACTTCGTTTGGGCGGGCTTAAGCTTCGGGTAGGATACGAATCGCAAATCGAGCCAGCAACAGATTCTGGGAATTGTTTGCCGACGAGAGTTTCGCGACTTTCAGTTGCAGGCTCCCCCGGGGGCGTGGTAAATCTGTCTGTGGGAGGAGATCCCGGATATCGACTAAATGCGCTCATTGTACGAGTAAGAGAGCCTCTGTGAGCTGTCTTGAGGCGTTGGGAAGTCGATCTTAGTATCGTTGACAATTGATTCTCGGATGTTGATCTCCGGTGGAGAGCTCTCAGAGGTGTGGTCGGAGGCACATCTGGATCTGTGTTTGCGTGTTCCTGATGAATAATCGCACTCTTCCTTCGCGATAATCTTGAGCTTGATCTTCTCGGTACTTTAGGGTCTTCGATGACATAGCCTGGGGGTGCAACTTGACTTTGAGCAATTGTCGATTGCCCTTGTAGCAATGCCATCTGCATGTTCGACGCCAGGGGCCACGAGTCTCTCATACCCGACCTACGCAAGAACCTCAAGTGTGTAGACCGACGCTTCGCCTTGGCCATCGGCGGGTTTGGGGTGGCCAAGTCCCGAGATGCCCAGTCATGAGCCGAGATTCCCTCCTCGAGATTCAAAAACTGGATGAGAGACAATCGATTTGAGGAACATTTGTCAAGTGGGCGTGTAGATCGAAGAGCTTTCCCCACATTTATACCCTCGATGCCAGTCTCTCTGACCTCCGCCGCCTGTCTCATCTTGAGTTTATGTTTTCTCCTCGCAAGAACAATTCCAATCGAAGCCAAGATCGCGAAAATTCCGAAAGCTCCTCCCACTGCGATTCCAATTATTGTTGATAAGGACAAGGTGGCTGATCCAATGGGCACCTGTGTCTGCATGGATCTTGTGAAGGGCCCATCGTCACCTTCAACCAGAGGTAGCGGCGCCATCTCGGCGAGGTATGCTTTCCAGTGAATTCGTCCGGTTGCAGAGAATCTTCCTATCCAACACGATTTGCAGTTCTCTGCAATATTACCCTTGCTTCGCCGAAATCTCGAGCCTTTTGGGTTTCCAGATCGGTTGCCGGCACTTCTAATGGTGATAAACTCGAGGAACGTCTTTCTGATGCTAATGTTGACGCTTCCACTTGCCAAATTGTAACGACAGGAGCGGTGCTTCAACAGAGCAACCAGGTATTCCAAACTTTGAGCGTGATGTGGCAAGAGTCGCAGCGAAAGGGTTGGAGAAGTACATCACGAGGTAATTTCCAACTGGAATGCACCCTTGACGGAACTACATTCCTTACATAGCACACCAATGAAAAGCACTTACTAGATGAAGATCTTCCAGGTGAAGAGTAAAATTGTAGTAAATTGAAAGCAGAGAGCCCATGGATCCGAGAGAAACGGAGATGAAAGCAAAGACATAATGAAGAGGGTAATGATGATAGTCCAGGTTGGTGTCACGGTGAAGGCTGCTGCACGCGATCGCCATTGTTGGGTGATGCTGCTGTCCTGGACTCAACTCGAGTCCAATTTGGATGCGAAGACATATTTTTAAAAGATTCATAGCATCGCATCGATGGACATTGCTTTTGGACGAGATCTGACGGTGGAAAAAGAAATAGAAGGAGAGGAGAGAAAAGTTGTGGCCGGTCCACTGCGGCGGCCCATTCATGCCGCTTCTGCAGCCGGTCGGCAACCTCGCCGAGGTCCTCAGCTTTTTTTCTAGTCTCTTTCATGTTATTTGCCCTTTCCCTACCCCTCTCATAAATGATACGAGATAGGAGCCTTCATACTTTGCGAAGCCGGGCAATTTGGATGTCTATTCCAGACCCCTACTACAGTTCTTTCTGGTGGCTGCATCTTCGGCTTCGTAAATGGATTCTGTTATCTGTGTTCACGCTTGGGTCGAGGCTGCGGATTTAGAGATAGTGAAGAGAGCAAAAGAGCCAAAGATGGTTGTTAAGGGTGGAATTGTTATGGGAGGGGAGTGGTGGAATATTGGATTTGAATGTTGGATTTGAATGTTGGATTTGAATGTTGGTCGAAGAACAAGGAGCAGGAAGGCTCAATCGATGGCTTCCTCTTCCGGCCAAGTAACCACAGTCCTCAAGCCCCTCTTAGCCAGCTCCAACCTGCTCAGAACGCAATGAAAGACCACAAGGATCCCCGATGGAATTAAGCAAGGCGGGACTATGTAAGTATATGTGATCACGTTCCCTACCCTACTTCTCACGGAAACCCATTCAGGTCCTTTTTGCTGCCCAGGTTAGCACGTGACCACCTCGTACCCCCTAAGGTACGCAGACGATTGGGGTTCTGAAATTTTCAGTCCCATCTCAGCCGTTTTAAGGATGAAATGAATGTTCACCCTCTCTGCGCTGCTTAAGGAGAAGCTTGTGTGATCTTCAACTATCGACTCGAGCGATTTCAAGGGAAAGTCTGAGAAGGAATTCCCCTGAAATTTAGCGACTGACCCTGAGACGCACGAGGAATCCGCACAGCTTTCATGAAGGTAAAAGAACGAGCACTCCAAAATACTTTCTTCCTGAAAAGGAACGGTAGAACCATACATAACTCTAGGTTCTAAAAGAACCTAGATAATTCAGATTCTCCTCATTCCCAGTCCCCCCTTTGCCGCCCCTCGCTACGATTGGCGCGGCTACAAGCTCAAATCCGCTTCGGCGACGACGACATTTCATCCAATCCCTCCCCTATAACTCCTCGTAGTGGACGTAATAACCGTATTAACGAGGCTTTTTGTGCCACGATGCCCGAACAAATCACACACTGCTCCAATGGTGGGGTTCCATGCAACATCCCGATTCATTGCGGACCTCTCGAAGTGGTCACGCCGACATGCGAAGCTCCCTGATTCAGGAACATAAAGACCCTCGCGTGCCCCTCCCCCACCGGACATATACGAGTACAGCAAAAAATATACAGCTTCAAGCACATCTCCCGAATCTTGCCAATCTTTGACATCAAGACGAAGACGAAACCTCCTGCCAGAATGGACGGCACAATAGTAGACGGAAAGTTCACCCACAACAACACCGTGGCCCCCGTCGCAGACCGCGTCCTCCCGCTCTTCTCCCTCAAAGGCCGCACCGCCATCGTCTCTGGAGCTGGAGCAGGCATCGGGCTCGCGGTAGCACATGCCCTGGCTGAAGCAGGCGCCAATGTCGCGATCTGGTACAACAGCAACAAGAAAGCTATTGAAGAGGCCGAGAACATTGAGAAGGTTTATGGAGTGAAGTGTATGCACATCCCACTGCAATCCCCCCAAGTCCCACTTATTTGAAGTGGGAAACAGGCAAAGCATACCAAGTAAACGTCGTCTCCTTCGAAGCCGTCTCCGCCGCTGTCGAAACCTGCATCCGCGATCTGAACGGACGCCTCGATATCTTCATCGCGAACTCGGGCATCCCGTGGACCCAAGGCCCCGCCATCGAAGGCGAGCTGGACCACTACCGAAAGGTCGTGACAACAGATCTGGACGGCACGTTCTACAGTGCGAGGGCAGCGGGCATACATTGGCGGAGGCAGAAGAAGGAGCAGACTACGATCGACGGGGCGAAGCTCGAGCCAGCTTTTAGGGAAGGCAGCTTTGTGGCGACAGCGAGCATGAGTGGCCATATTGTCAATATTCCCCAGCTGCAAGCTACGTATAATGCTGCGAAGGCGGGGGTGATACATCTCTGTGGGTCTGGTCCCACTTTTCACAAGAAGTCGGACTAACAATTGATAGGCAAATCTCTAGCAGTGGAATGGGTCGGCTTTGCGAGATGCAACACCATTTCTCCGGGTTATATTGCAACCGAAATCTCGAGTTTTGTTCCTGCGCCTACGAAGAATATTTGGAAGGACAAGATTCCTATGGGGAGAGAGGGAGAGGCGAGTGAGTTGAAGGGGGCATACCTCTACTTGGCCAGTGATGCGGCGAGTTATACTACGGGAACGGATATCATTGTTGACGGTGGCTATTGCCTTCCTTAAGGTGTACAAGTGTTGTACCAAGAGGCAAGCCTGCTGTTATCGAATCAACCTAGGGCAAGGGGAAAGACGCCCTAGATTATTCCATCTTCATATTCAATCACGGACAAGAGAAAGGGGGCAAGAGAAAGTGGACAAGCTCAAATCCTCATGGTAATTTAGACGAAGCCTCAAATTGCAACAAGCCTCCATCTACTCTTCTCACTCTCCTGACGCCTTGGTCCCATCTCATATCACGTTCTCGAGGAGCCTCTAACACCATTGGTCGCCTTCCAACAACCTCTCCCACCAAGTCCTAGTCGAGGGTTTGGAAATTGACATATTAATTTCTTCTTATTTTAGTCGAGATAATAAGTAAATATTAATTAAAGACTTATTACTTAGGGAGCTCATCAGAATTACCCTTGAATTTAATATAGTAATTTTCCTTAATAGGCATTTCAATAAGTAGCAAAAGCTTTAGAAAATAATTTATTTGGTATTGAAATGAGTTGTAATAGTTAAATAATTAATAATTATTATTTAAGCGACTGTTAAAATATTTGGGGGGCGGTTGGACTATCTGGGCAGTTGCCCAGTGGATCCTTCTAACCGCCTGTCCTTTCGCAGAGACCGTACCAACATTGCGAAGCACAGTGAGAAGTAGTTAGTAGCTAGTAGCTGTGAGTCGACCAAATCGCGTTGGCGAAAGGATGTGATCAGGAGAGGAACCTCGAGATGAAGTTTGGGATATACGTCATGTGATCGTCGGCCACCGGGACTAAAACGGCAAGAACCCATGCTAATTCCATTGGCAGAGAAGAGACGACAACAATGGAAAAACGACGTAACCAGAATTCAGAAACCCCACCTGGAAGCAATCTCTCCATCCCACGTCAATTCCCTCCTGAGATCTGAAAGGAGGAGGCAAAATACAATGCTGGAAGATTTAGACCTTTCCTTTAGCATTCCACCCCTCTCAGCATCGCAGACCATCATTAGGGCCAAGGATTCAGCCCTTGCGCGCTCTGTGCCAGGATGAAGTTTGCCAAAGAGCTGGAACAGGATCTCGTCCCAGGTACACGCCCGCGGCTGTTTCGAATCTACCAACAAGCACTAACCAATGCATAGAATGGCGAATCAAATACCTCGACTACAAAGCTGGGAAGAAACACGTCAGAGCTGTTTCTCGAGCTGCAAACCGCATGAACGCCACCCCGCGATCGACTGCTGTGCAAACGCCTCTTGCTCCAGACCATAGCACATACGGAGCGATCTCCACCTTTCCTCGAAGAACCAAGCCTTCCCCGAGATTGCGGAGATTTGACGAGCAAAATGTCGAGCAAAGCGAATCCCTTCGCAACTCGCCTGCCCCTCTGGGTGCCGACTCACGACCAGATTCAGACGCCTCAGAAGAAGACCAATTGGGCCCTCTGCAGAAGGGCCCAGCGACCCCCATACCAAAACACAAAAAATCTGTAGAGTTTTTGGATAAATCGAGATATGGAAGCTTTGTACCAACGCCTCCGACCAAGTCTGCATCCTCTCCGTTCGAGCTCCCAGGCCCAGCAATGAGAGAGTCGATCACAGGGCATTCGAGAGGGGGTACTCCAACTCTACCAGCTGCTGCTGAACCCGCTGTTGAACGTAGCGCCTCTCTGGTTGTCCCGACCAATGCCTATGAAGTAGGGCGAACAATGACGCCGTCCTTCAGAAGAGGCACCTTTGCCAACCTTCGAAATCGTTTCCCCGCCAATTCCGAATCACCATTCCTTCGAAGAGTATTTTCAGTTGGAACGCCTCTCACACCCTCCGAATCTCGTCGACTGGATGTTGATATGATTGCAGTCGACCAAGTTCGGCAGCGCCAGAAGGAATTCTTTGCATGGATGGACAAGGAATTGGACAAGATTGAATCATTCTACAAGATGAAAGAAGACGAAGCTGGGACTCGATTAGCAGTTCTGCGTGACCAATTGCATGAAATGAGGAACCGGAGGGTCGAAGAAGTGGCTGCAGTACAGCATGCTAAAGCAGTCCGGAAAGAGGATGAGCATGATGTCTTCCAGTTCCCACCCGGGCAGTCTAATGGACAATCAAGAAAGGATGACGATCACCGCCCAAACTCACGAGATCATCTGAAGGCTTGGTTTGACCCGCTCGAGAGGGTCATGAACCAGGCAAAATCTAAAATCACAGGTCCCCGCCCCGGAGGGAACTCGAAGGCGCTGCAAAACATGCAAGACTCTCCCGAAATGCGTTCCAAGTCCCAAGCAGAACGCAATCGACGTCTCGACGATGGTCGGGATTATGTTAGAAAACCTCACTACACTGACGAAGTGCCTTATCGCACGGCCAAACGGAAGTTGAAGCTTGCTCTACAGGAGTTTTATCGAGGCATGGAGTTGCTCAAATCATATGCCTTGTTGAATCAGACTGCGTTCCGGAAGATCAACAAGAAGTATGACAAGGCAATCAATGCTCACCCTCCCCTGCGATACATGTCCGAGAAGGTTAACAAGGCTTGGTTTGTTCAGAGTGAGGTTCTGGATGGTCACATCCATGCGGTAGAGGATCTCTATGCAAGATACTTTGAACGCGGCAATCACAAGATTGCTACGGGGAAGCTCAGAAGTTCCCAAGGGAAGAGAGCGGACCAGTCTGCAAGTGCATTCAGGAATGGTCTTTTGATAGGAACAGGTGCTGTTTTCACAATCCAAGGTGTCATCTACGGGGCTGGCCTATTGCATCACGCTGATCCTGTCATCCGGCTCCAAACAAGCTATTTATTGCAGATCTATGGTGGATACTTCCTTGCACTGTATTTGTTTGCTTGGTTCTGTTTGGATTGCAGTATTTGGACACGCAACAAGATCAATTATCAATTTGTTTTTGAATTTGATCCCAGATCGCATTTGGATTGGAGAGAACTGGCCGAGTTCCCCTCCTTTCTGATACTCGTTTTTGGATTGTTCGTTTGGTTAAACTTTACCAGGCATGGATCTTCTGCCATGTTCATTTATTACCCGGTGATTTTAATATTCTTCACGGCCGTTTTGATATTTATTCCAGCGCCAATCATTTTTCATCGGAGTAGAAGATGGTTTGTCTATTCACATGTAAGTCAATCTTCCCCGCTCCATCCGCCTGGCTAACGGCATGTAGTGGCGTTTGCTTTTGGCTGGATTATACCCGGTGGAGTTTAGAGACTTTTTTTTGGGAGACATGTATTGCTCTCTTACGTATTTCACGGCCGTAAGTGGAACGCCTTCTTGAAAACGCAGCAGCTGATATCGTTACAGAATATAGAGCTATTTTTCTGTTTGTATGCACATCATTGGAATGATCCTCCGCAGTGTAACTCGACACATTCGCGGCTTCTTGGGTTTTTCTCGGCCCTTCCCGGCATCTGGCGTGCGTTGCAATGCATTCGTCGTTACAAGGATACTCAAAACATATTTCCTCATCTCGTCAACTGCGGCAAATATTTTGCGACGATCGCGTATTATGTCACTCTCAGCGTCTATCGAATCGACCGAACCTGGAAACACCTTGCGATTTTCGTTACCTTTGCTACGATAAACGCTGTCTATACCTGTAAGATATCTCTCCGTACCTCTGATCGACCTGCTAACCTCTCTATAGCGATATGGGATCTTGTCATGGATTGGTCTCTCATGCAACCTCACGCCTCGAAGCGCTTCCTCCGCGATGTCCGCGGTTACAAAGGTACTCGATGGTATTACCTTGCGATGATCCTTGACCCCATCCTTCGATTCAACTGGATATTTTATGCAATATACACCCAAGATCTACAACACAGCACTTTTGTTTCTTTTGTAGTGGCCTTGTCAGAAGTTAGTCGGCGAGGAATGTGGGTTCTTTTCCGTGTGGAAAACGAACATTGTTCCAACGTTGCACGCTTTAAGGCCTCTCGAGACGTTCCTCTTCCGTACAACATCCCCACGGAATCAGAAGAAGACTTTGAACGCCGTCAACAAGCGCAAGGACAGACTCCACAAGCAACCACGACATCAGCGGCATCTCCAGCGGTGGCTCGACTTCGTAGCCATACGGGCGCAACACTCGAAGCTCAAGAATCTGCTGGTTCATCTCTGCGACGCCGTCCTCAGCATGCGAGAACATTCACGATGATTCTTGCCGACGCTCACACCCAGGATTTCGAGAAGAAAAAGAAGCCTGGAGCGGGAGATAGCGATAATTCGAATAACGTAGAGAGAGATGGCGATCCGGATGATGAGGGCCCGGCTGGCAGTAGTGATGAGGATGACGATGAGCAGGATACTCAGGATGTTTTGGATGCCGAAGCACTGTTGAGAGAGAGAAGGGAGCAAGCTGGTAATGGAAACAGGCAGGAATAAACTGGAGCAGATGTGACTTCCAAGGCTCTGCAATGCACTCTTCATCTTCGTTACTTCTACAACCGATTCGTTTTGCACCCAATTTTCCACCAAAGGTAGGTCTCGTGTGGTATTCATGTTTCACGGCAATTACACACAAGTTGACTTTCGAAAGTGGCAAGCGCCCCAATCCAAGTTTCTTCAATTGGTGTTCGTTGATCACTGTATATATGGAAATAGCAGAGCTTAAGGTTTTACACCGAAGCTTCGTCGAAAGATTGTACGGTTCCGGAGGCAGAGAAAGGTTTGGCTAAGGGTATCTGAAGGGAAGGTAATTTTGAAATGATGAAACCCTGGTCTCTGGAGAAGTCTCTGCATAGGAAGTAACAGACTCAAATCGCGCTTCCTGTCTTCCTTGAAAGCACGTCTTTTGCCGGGAAGCGCCTCCTTGTCAGCGTCCTCCTTTATTATATTGCAACAAGGATTTCAGATCTAACTTTCTTTGAGGCCCCTATCTAAAACGCGAGCACCAGGGAGCTGTAGACGTCCCTACTTCCGACGTCTTGCAGGCTCGCGGCTTGCCAGGATCCTCGACCTCTGAGTTTCAACCTTTCTCAAGGATCCTTTCCTCACCTCTGCCGATGCAGATTTCAACCCTTGAGCAGAATGTCAATGTGCTCCAAATCCTACCATCAATGGGTGCTAGAGGTGGAATAAATAAAGATTTACCTAGACTATTATTTAAGAAGTAAATATAATGGCTTGTAGATTGTGACATTATATTAAGTGGGCTGTAACGTACGGGCTTCCCAAATGGATAAACCTGAAACTTGAGTAATCCTCGTATATCAGATAGGATTTTTTTATATAACTCGAGTTTTTCTTCTGGAAGTATAATTATATTTGCATTAGCCTAGTATATTTCAGGGATAAAACTGAGTAATATAAAATTATGCACTATATCTTTGGCTAGATAATTATTATATAATTAAGTTTAGGCAATTGTTATTAAATTAAATTATTAAATATTGCGCATCCCTAATGGGTGCAGACTTGAGCCCAGTAATCATCCCCGAGTTCTGACATCGTTCACTCGAGCGCTGATCAGATGCGAGAATCAATCGAGTCGTGATTGGCACCGGCCAATGGTATCTTCACACCTTAAGCTGGCCATCAGAACCCCAGCATTTCATTCGTATATCTATGCGAGGGGGACACTCCGGCATAACGAGTTGTGACATTTCGGCCACTGGTTTGGGAGAGCAGACAAATGTTTTGATATTGTGAGACGTGACATTGGAAGCTATGTCTCACCCACCGTTCCGGTGAAGTCAACTTAGAAAGCGGCCGAAATACAGTAACAGTAGCGATGGAGGCCCAAAGCAGTTACAGAGTGAGGGACAGATGATGTCATCCTTCAGGTGAGAAGCCGTCGAATGGACGGCGACCGGCAGCTTGTTTTACACGAATGTTTGGACTCATGCCCCTTCCCGTGAGATCGAGATTGAGTAACAAAAGCTCAGAATGTTGCCCAGAACAGCCAGGAACAGCATGTTCGAGTCTTGAATTGCTCAGTTCTCCAATTTTGGATCAGGTATCCCAACCAACTCCGAATCTTATCCATGAATCTATGGTATCCAAGATGTCCCTCTTCACTTCCCCGCACGCCAGTGCTTCATTTTAAATCTAATCAACCCTTTAACGCCTTGGTATCCCTTCTCAAACTCAAGTCCTGACCTCAGTGTTCCCCAGATCCTTTTTAAAGAACGCACAAATCTCCTCCCCACATTCCACGCTTCTCATTTCTCTCCCAACCTCATGTTGCAACGGCGGTGCACCCTGAACATTCACATTCAGATCATTCAACAGCTCCTGGATCACGCCCATCATTGTCTTCGCCCCTGGCGTCGCTCCATATGACTCGAAGTATGACGTCTGCAGATCCTCGCAGAAGTACATTCCACCCGGCTTGACGACCGGGAAGAGCTTGTCTAGGGATGTGATCTGCTGCTCCATTGTGTGTCCGCCGTCATCGATTATGATGTCGAAGCCGCCGCCGGAGGAATTGATAAACTTGTCGAGGAAGTCGACGTCGGATTGGGAGCCTGTGTAGATCTTGACGTTGGTCATGTTCTGAAGGAGTTAGCTATGGGCTTTAGGGCCAGGGAAGAAGAGAAATACCTGAGCCCATTTCCGAACGCACTCTTTGTCGTACTCGATGTAGTATAAATCGACGTTTGGGAGAAACTCCTGCCAAGTGTAGTAGGACTTTCCTGGGCCGTAGCTCATGTCGCAGCCCAGTCCAATTTCCAGCATCTTCAACGACTTGTCACGAATTGGCTCCAGGTATTTTTCGTACACTGAGAGTTGTGTTAGAGTTGAAACCCTCCAGCGATCGTGAGAACCTACTGTAGTTGTAATGGTGAACTGTAACTTTGTCGGTGCCCCATTTCGTTGCGATTTCGAGGAACGAAGGTCGAGTTGCTCCTGCTGTTGGCTCTGTGATCTCAGCGTTGTCTGCGAGGACATCTTCCGGAACCGTTGTGTTTTGTGTGGGCGTAACTTTCTCGAACTCCTCTAAATGCGTGTACAGGACATCTCTCGACCGCAGATTCCACAGGGTCGCGAACAAAAATAAAATCCCCACCGCCGCACTAACAGACACGAAGTTGAATATTCTGCCCTGCATGTTGAAAGAACATCTATCTCATGGATAACGAGTGTGGCAAGAGTTGAATCTTGATTTTTGAAGAGAAAGAATGTGTTTGCAGGTAAGGAGAAACGTAGACCTGAGTGATGGTGGTGGGGAGTAATATCATTGCTTTCTTGGACCTTGGCATCCACTAGATCTGCTCTACGCTCAAGAGACCATGGCGCCGGGGGGACGGCTGAGGCAGGGGCTAAATGGCTCGTGCATGGGGGCGCGTGCATGGGTGCGTGCAACCCAGGCCTCGATCAATCTTTTTCAAACGGACGTGCGACCGTAGTTGTGAGTTGTTTCAATTAGAAATCTTTCGCGTTTGGAGGATCATTATCTGCTGAGGAGCGTTACATTTGCGGCGCATTTCATCCTACAGCTATTTATTACCCTCCTGTACGAAGTGGTAAGATTATACCCGGAGGGTTACCCTGTGTCAGTGAGACAGATGCTGCTTTAGCCTCTGTAGGCTGGCACAGATTAAGTAATCACGCTCTACTACGATGGTAAAGCGCGCATTGAAATCCGTCAACTCGCTAAGCGAGGACGGGCGCAATTCTAATGCTCGCATTACGAAAATTCTTATAATTCTGCTTTGTATTCTATTATTATAAAAATTTCACGAAAGTTAGATATGCTTCTTTTCTATTACGTAAAGCACTTTTAAAGAGTTTCGGGCGTTCCATTGAGATTTGGTGTGATTTTCTAAACGTAGCGATTTTGGTGTTCCTCGCCCCTTTTGGCCGCTGGACAGTTTTCAACGCCGCGCTGCCAGGATAAAGTCAAACGGCGTGAAACGTATAAAAACGCCAGGCCGAGAAACATCTTTTCTAGGGTAATAGCTGTATGATGGCAGTGCCTGATGTGCGCCAACACGAACATCAAACGCTCCGTCACACCACCCGTCTTATTTAGAACCCTCCTCTTGATGATCTCTCCCAGTAGGGATGGAAAAAAATTACATAATTAGATTATATTTAATGGGCTCAGCCTAAATTATATTTAATGGGCTTGCCATTATTATATGCATAATTTTATATGTAATTTATGATTTTTTTAATGCAAATGACAGGTCACATGGCATGGTGTCAGGACTAAAGTTATACTTTTTATTCTTCTTCTACAAGTAGGAGAAGTGGGTCTCACGTGCATTAATTTCTAGCCATATAATTGGTCCAATATTGGACCCACATAATATAACGCATAATGGGCTCAAGAGCATTATTTATACGTATATAATAATAGGGTAGGAATTATATATAATTATCCACCCCTATCTCCCAGGTACTCACGGCCCGAGGATCACCAAGCCACGAGCACAAGTTCTAATTTCCACTGCGGGGCGCGGCTTCAGCCTCAAAGATGCTTTTACGGACTGTAGTTTCGTTGGCACGGCCGGAGGCTTGCCCCTAAATCAGCTCCGAATGCTCACTTCTTGACTGTTCTCCGTAGGACCGTAAGAATTTCAGCTGAGGTCTGCATCGAAATTGGGGGTCGAAGCTGGACTTGGTGCCCCCCCTGAATGCTTTAACCCTGGCTGGTGGATTGGACCCAAGCCTGATCGCCCAAATTTGACGCAGGCCTTCTCGTATCGCTCGCCTCTCGCCTCAGAAACTTGATTCGGACGAGCTTGCATCCGAGCTGCATGAAATATTTATTTGGGGCTCCAACATCAGTCCTCTCCCACCTAAATAAAAGAAAAAGTGGGCCCTTCGCACAGACATTCTACCAACAAACCTCTCCATGAAAGGGCCCACTTTTTACAAGTACATCTAGTACTACTCCGTACAGTAGTAATTCAGGAGAGGGGAGAGAGTAGCCGACAGGGGTTAGAGTCATGAATCATGAACCGGGAGAGAAGGCTTTGCCTTGCGGGGTCGTAAGTAGCAGACCCTGTGGTTACAGTACTCCGTACGGCCAACTCCCCGCAACGGGCGGGTGCGCCAATCGAACAGGGCGAAACGTCCCCTGAAAGATTTTCAGGGGTTCACCAGCCCTGGCTCCACAAAATATGCTGTCAAGGAATTAAAGGTAAGCAGATCTTCCGTCCTGAGATCTGTTTCTTTCTTCTCCATTCAACGTCTCCGCAATGGAAATGGATTTCTACAAGGGGAACTTTGCGGCATTCGCCTTGCTGAATGCTGTTTTGGCATTTAGAGAATATCGACAAGTGGATGCTCAGCAGGAGAAGGACGATGAATCGAAAGCAGAGGCCGAGGGTAAACGGGTGGTCTTGGACAAATTCAAGTGGAACTTCATCCCGATATATTTACTGGTCAATGGCGCAGATTGGCTTCAGGTAAGAAAGTCCTTTGGATTTCTACGGGCATGGAATTGACATTCCAAAGGGGCCATACATCTATCCATTATACAAAGGTTAGATCTCTTTCTGCGATCGTGTCGTCTCCACGGTGGGGTGGTGGCATGAGACGACAACGTTGCAACGGCTTCATATCTGCGGCATCGATCCGGGCTAATCCATGGTTATCAGATGAAAAGGGCCTTGTCGAAGAAGTGGTCGCGGCGCTTTTCATGACTGGGTTTTTGGCAGGGGCTGTATCAGCATCGTTCACAGGAAATTTGGCAGATCGCTATGGACGACGACTTGCATGCCTGGTCTTTTGCGTGATCTATTCGCTATCATGCCTTGCCCTCTTGAGCGACGATATTGTGATCCTATTTATCGGCCGCATGCTTGGAGGTGTGAGCACGACACTGATGTACAGTGTTTTCGAGAGCTGGATGGTGACGGAGTTCAACAAGCAGTTCCCGGACGAGCCTGGATCCACGTTGAGCGGTATCTTCAGCATCATGACGACTTTAAACACTGTGGTTGCAATTATTGCTGGAGTTTTAGCAGAATGGGTCACCGATTTTACAGGGACTGAAAAGGCGCCGTTCATGACAGCTGTGGCATGTCTAATGCTTGCTTTTGCTGCCATTAACAGTCGATGGGTAAGATATGCCGTTTGGCGTTACGTGCATTTTTTTTCTGATAGCGAGATAGTCGGAGAATTTTGGCGACAAAGCAGAGCAGACTTCGGTTTTGGACATTGAGGGGAATGGCACAGCTCCCAAGAGTACACTGCGTTTGTTCATTGAGGGTAAGTTTGACGTCGAAACGAAGAGCGGGAAACTGACTGAAACCAGACAAGCGACTACTTGCCCTTGGTGTCACGGCCAGCATCTTTGAAGGCTCGATGTACATCTTCATATTCTTCAAGTTTCCAGCCTTAAAATTAGCACACAAGTTATCTGGCTTGACTGATGGTATGTTCCCCCATCACTTCCCCAGCATCACCCTAAAATCTATTAGGCCTCCCATTCGGACTCATTTTCGCTATTCTCATGTGCTCCATGATGCTTGGATCCCTCCTATACAAGTATATCATGACGCACTATCCTCACGTAACTCCCACTCGACTACTCATCTGCACCCTCTCGGTTGCTGCGGCCAGCTTTTTCATCCCTGTCCTCTGGAGAGACGAACGAGTCACCATGTGGTGTTTCTGCGTCTTTGAAATCTGCTGCGGTGTTTATTTCCCTTTGATGGCGTACCAAAAGGGGAAGATCGTTGAAGATGGTGTTCGGGCGAATGTGTATGGATTGATGAGGATACCATTGAACGTATTTGTTGTTTTGGTGTTAAGTACTACGAAAGAAGGTCAGTACAGAGTCGACTCGAGTTTGGGTTAAGCTAACAAGTACAGGCGTTCGGCATAGAGATCTGGTGTTCACATCATGCAGCGCCTTGTTGTTGGCTGCCGTTGCGGTCAATGGAATGTTGCAGTAGCTGGAGACTCCTGAACGGCTGCATTATGTATACAATGTCAGATGAAAAATGGCGTTGGAAATATATGGGATGCCTTGATGATTTTATCACGATGTCGGCTGAAACGACAATGTTCAACACTTCCCAGGTTCTTCGTTTTCCGGTTCCTCTCCTCTTTCCCCTTCTCCCAACGCGGCCCTGGGGTTGTTCTTCGTTTCGACAGCTGTTGGACCCCAAGGAGTCTGCAAATTACCATTGACATTTATTTCAGCTCTTGCTTCTCATTTCCCTAGTATTCCACTAACTCATGGATAACTTCTATGTTCTCCTGCCCGACTTCTTGCCGGCAGCAATGCAATATAACCGTCCTTCGTACGGAGTCAATCGTCGCATTGATCACTGTCAATCTCGCGCCCGCCGGAATCTCCTCGGCACTCTGCGCGCCTTCACAATTTCTCTCCTCCATATCTATAATGCGCTCCGCAATACTCGCCAGCATGTCCCTGTGCCAAATACCCTCTTGTCTCGACCCTTGGCAAAGCAAACGAAGCACCTGTCGTCGAAGCAAAGGATGCCGACACCTTGAAGAGACAAAGTAAAGATGCGGCAGAATGCCCATATCAAATGCTGGGATTAGCGACTACTCAACTTTTAGGGAATGCCCAGAGGTACTGCTGATCAAGAGGCGAGATTCGAGAGCATTTATCTGAGAAAAAGCTACCTCGAAGGAATCGAAGATCATTTCTTGGCTGGAGGGACCTGCGGATGCTAGGATAGTAGCTGTGATATGTTGGATTTCGAGGAAGATTGCCACTTTTTGCTCTCTTGTGGAGAGTTTCCCATTATGCTCTGTTATGAACGCTCTGAAGGACCGCGACCAGGTGCCAAGAAGATTGGCGCTGAGCTGGGAAGCGGGACCAGTGTCCAAGTCGGTGTCTCCTAGGGCTTGGAGCTGAGAGGTCAACATCCCGTGGTAGAGAGAGCACATGCAGCTGTCCAGACAATCTCTTGCCTCGTCGACAGATCTGAGGACCGAGGGGATCGATGGAAGTGCAGGAGTGAAGGCTGGCTTGACAAATTTCCATTCGCCGGGCTTCGTGTGGACGAATAAGAGAGTCTGCAACATCAGCCTCCCAAATACGCGTTCAAGCTGGACGGCCATCTCTCTCGAATGTCGGTTCGAACAATCGCCCTTCGAAATCCAGTTGAACAAGACATATATCCCGCTTGACATATGGTTTAATGCAGCTTCATAATTGTTTTGAAACATCTCGAAGCAGACAAAGAGGGCGCAAGTCATGAGCACAACCTCTACAGAGGATTCGTTTCCTTCTTGTATTTTCTGGTTCAAATCCGAGATTGCTTTGGTGTGTTGTCTGATAGCGAAGGCTTTGGGACGCCTTTCCAGGCTTTCGGGAGACTTATCAAGTATCGTTTCCGACAGAGAAGCCAACGCCACAATGGCATGCCGAACAGGGTCTTCTTCCTGTGCAACTTGCAAGATAACATGAGTCCAGAAACTCGAATCGAAGAAGCCGCTGAGATCAATGGCGACCTTTGTACGGAAGAAGTCGAATGCTCGGACTTCAGCACCGGTATGACAAGGGGTTGGAGAGATGTGGTGGGGAACCAGGATGTTGGGTTGCCAGAGGACGATTTTTAGGGGGTCTGGTTCTGGAATTGAGGAGTATTGGCATTGCCGGGAGCTCTTTTGACAAGGCGTACATCTTGGTTGTGCCGTGTCGCATCGAACATGCCGAGATTTGCATGTGCTGCAACCCCCTCTGCCTTTTAGTGCCCATTTCCGTTTGGAGGTTCCCATGTTGGAAGTTTCTCGTACATAGATTTAATGAGCAGGGTCGGATTTGATCCGTAATCTCGGGTGTTGTCCCGGAAATCAAAATAGCTGGAAAGAGATTGAATACTAGCAAAAAATACAGGATTTTGTCTCAACCGACTTTTTGAGAAATAACTGCACAGCGAACTCATTTCGACTCATTCCAAGGCCGCTTAGTCACTTCTGGAGACGTTTCTGAGGGCTTCAATCTTGATAGGTGCGTATCAGTTGTCAGCATGACGTGCAGATTTGAAGAATATGCGGCTAATGCAACAAGCCGTCTCGAAGGGGAAATGGTTTCGCAAAATTGCACCTCTTTTGAAAAACAAGATCCGCGGCCTTGGCATCTCAATTGAGTTCATTCTCGTTAAGCCTGTTGGTGAAGCTGCAAGAGTTCGATGTGCAGTCATTAGTCACAGTCAGACGGACAAATACGATCCCATGTATCCTTTTATCCCAAAGCGGAAGATTTTCGTACACGCTGATCTTAACCTGAGAGCTCAGGCTCCCACAAATTGCAGTCATCTAAAAGTGGAGACACCGCCTACAGGATAGGGTATGTAGGCCCTGCTATAATCCTCGCTGAAGAGTTGCATGGAAAATTAAACCTCCAGACTAGATGGTAAACAGATCTACTTAGAATCCATACCCAGCAAAGGATCCGAAGAGGGCAGTGAAAATCTCCTCGCCAATAAGTATGTAAGAGAGTCGAAGAAGACTCTTAGAATCTCATTGTTCCCATTACTTAACTTTAATTCTCATCCGAACTCTCAGCTATCTTGATAGCTTTCAAGTTCAACCATGCTTCAATCTTACATCCTCTTGGCCCTCGTCAGCCTCATGCTGTGCTCCGCGACACCAGTCGAAAGATCTCCAGCTCAAATTGCTCTTCCAAAACCCACAGGCATATATCAAGTCGGTCGCAGTGTCACCGAACTCATCGATTATAATCGAACTCAGCCATTTGTGGAAGGCGATGAGCCTGTAAAACTCATGATCTCTGTCTTCTACCCGGTTCCTCGCCAGCACCATTCTATCTTGGGCGCATACATGCCTCCTGAGACAGCAGGAATCGAGGACCTTGAGCTCAGCCTCGCCGGTGTTGCAGCACCAAACGGCACATTCGAAAAACTCTTTCTGCACCTCGCTAGCAATGAACCAACTGAGAATGTCACGAATCAAACCTCCTGTCAACACCCTCTGATCCTCTTTATGCCTGGCCAAGGAACAACTCGTCACTTTTACCAACAAATCGCATCAACCATAGCCAGTACAGGATACATCGTGGTCACCATCGATGCAGCTTACGACGTCGATGTTGTAGAGTATCTCGACGGTTCTCTTGCCATGTTCAACGCATCGTTGTGGGAAACCCTAGACCTAATTGCACTCAACCGGACTGGCTTCACGGCAATCGAAACTCGTGTAGGAGACGTCAGTTTTGTTCTCGACTCCCTCTCCAACGCAACCCTCGCACACTCACTCGTCCCGAACTTGCCTTCATACGGCTTAAACACCACACACACTGCCATGTTTAGTCATTCCTTAGGAGGAGCCACCGCATTCTCCGTACTTGAATCTAACGACCGCATCCTTGGAGGGCTGGACATGGACGGCGGCCTCTTCGGTCCAGGTCTCTCAACCGGGACCTCCAAACCCTTCATGATTATGGGTCATGAAGGTTACACACGAGACAATCAGAATGACGATCCCTTTCTCACTTGGAAGACTATATGGCCGAACCTTACTGGGTGGAAGAGAGATATCATCGTTAATGGTACTGGGCATTACGACTTCTCTGATTATCCGATCGTGTTTGAGACGCTTGGGATCACGCCTTCCAATCAGACTGTACTAGACAATATCTATGTAGGGAACATGAAAGGGAAGAGAGCACTCGAGATTGTGACTACCTATGTTGGAGCATTTTTGGACTTTGTGATTTACGGGAAGTGCTCTGAGCTATTGGATGGGCCTGTGGCGGAATTCCCCGAAGTCACTTTTGAGTACTGATTTTGTTTGTTGCACCTGCCGGTCTCAGAGGAAAGGCAATTGATAATAACGTGTAATCGTAAGGCGGAAGCACTTTAATTTGCCTTTTACACCAAACTGTGCTCCTTCGTTAAGGGCTAAGCTCTAGCAATTTGTCCAGCTTTAGCAAATACTTTGTTTAAGAACACTTCAAAATGAGCACCTTTCCACAACGCTCAAAATCAATCAGACTAGATACTCCGAACTTTGAAAAGCTTTTTATGTTAGTCCTCAAAGATTCTTCGAGGATAAATCAAAAAATTTCCTTGATTTCTGTAAGTGCTGAGACTGAAATAAACGAGTCCCCCTCGGGCGAAGGAGTTAGTTGACTTCCCGTTTTCCTGTGATTATTTCTCTTTGACGGCTGTTTATTATCTTCAATGACTTCTGGCACTCTTTGACATTTCATCTAAACCTTTATGTCTGGAATCCCGATACAGAGCGCCTTTGTCCGATCCCTTGTCTACCCGAACAATTGACTCTTTTGCTTAAAATCTAATCGAGGCATTATGACTGCAAAAGCTTCTTCTAAGGTCTCGATATAACTTCACAACGGTAATAGTAATCGGCATTACTTTACTCTAAAGAAATACTTGCCGATTCAATTATGTCTTTAGGTCAACAACCAGCACAGTCCAGATTGTGCACAACCAAGTACATCTGTCCCAACTGCCCCGACAAGGTCGAGCTGCACTCAAATACCTGCCCTGCAAAACTTCGCGAGCTGTCCTCCTCGATAGGACTTCAGTACAGGCTTCACAAATATACCACACATCTGCAAAGTGAACCCTGCTTGCAGATTTCGGAGCTATGCTGGAAGTGTACGCTGGACTTTAATCAATACAAAATGGAGCGGGCCCTACACGACGCCGTGGTGTGGAGAAGACGCCTGAAAGATTAATTATAACTTTACAAAAGTAATAAGTATTATATCTTAATATATTATTAATTATAAAGGTTTAGGCGTCTTTTATTATAGATTTAATAGGCTTTAAGGCGTGGTTTTCGCCTATTATTTAATATATAAAAGAAAGAAAAATAAAGTTATTTATAAAAGTATTAGTTATAAAAGTAATAAAAGTAATAAAAGTAGCTAAAAAGCTTTTAATTAAAATAAAATAGAAATCTAAATAATACTTCTCTTCTATATTTATTTTTACTAATAATACTTTAAAAGCATTATTTATTAGTTTGTTTTTATTATTTTTATTAGCTTCTTTTTCCTTAATTTTAATAATATATTATATATAAGTATTATTAAAGTATTTATTAAAGTTATAAGAGTTTTGAAATCTAGATTAGTAAATATTTTTATTTTTAAAACGAGCTTTCTTAATCTTTTATTTCTTTAATATATATTTTTAAAAGTAGTATTTAAGTCTTTTATATATAAGATATAATTTCGAAGTATAATTATTATAATTATAAGGTTTAAAGTAATTATTATAGGTTTCGAAATTATAGCTAGGCTTATATTAATAATTTCTGAATAAAAAATAACTTAAAGAATTTTATAAATAATATTATTAATTAATTAGTTTTTTTTATAAATAATAATAAATTGTTAGAGTCTATTAATAAGCTAGCCGAGATTATTAAAAGAGTTTAAAACTATATATTAATATACTAATAAGCTTTAATAAAAGATAATAATTTAATTATATAAAAATTCAATTTTTTATAAAATAAAAATAAGGCCGTATTATAATTAATATAGATTATTAATTAGTATTTGAATAAGTTTAAATATTGTCTTTTTAGAGTATTTAGCCCTTATAATTACTAAAATAATAGTAGTTTATTTATTTAAATTTTAATATTAAAACCCGGGATTTTTAAAAAAGCTATAAATATTTATATAAGTTTTTTTATATATATATTAAAAGAGCTAGTTATTATAAAAGTGGGTTTATACTAGCCTCTTTAATATAATATAGAAAGCTTTTACTAGTGCCTTTTATAAAACTTTATATATTAAGAAATATTAAGAAAAATAATTATTAGTTTTATTATATTTTTATTATTTTCTAATAAGCTTTCTAGTAGAAATAATAAATATTAATTAAGGGATTTTCGGGTTTAGTAATTCTAGTAATAATTCTAGTAATAATAAAAGTAATAAATAGTTTTAATTTCTTTTTATTTAGTTCTTTTTAAAATAAGATAAACTAATATAATAAGTTTCTTTAAAAGATCTATTTTAATTAAACTATTTTTAATAATATTAGCTTTATTTTAATTTTTTTTTAAAAAAATAATATTATAATAAAGTCTAAGTAATTCTATTTAATATAAATACTATTATATTAAAAGTATTTTTAAAGGCCTTATAATTTAATATAATTATATTAGTTAAAAGTTATATTATTAAAGTTTTTAAAATTATTCTCAAATAAATCTTATAAATTTCTATTAAATATTTTATATAAAATATATTAATATAGCTTAATATTTAGATATTTTTAAAGATATATTTTTATAATATTTATAATATTAATTTCATTTTCTTATTTTTTAATTAGCTTTTTTTTTTATTTTTTATTTATATTATATTAAATTTAAATTTTTTCTAATATATATATTATAATAAGAAGTATTTAAAAGTAAAGTTATTTATAATAGATTTATAAAAAAAGGTTTAATAATAAAAATATTAATTAAGATAAATATTTTATATTCAAATATTTTATTTATAATAAGAAATTTAGAAAGTAAAATATTATAATTCCGAAAGACTTTAAGCTCGAGAAGTTTAATTTAATAGTAAAATCGAAGTTATAATTAAAGAGCTTTAAGAATATATATATTTCAAAAAGAAGATTTTATAAATTCGAATATTATATAAATTAAAAAAATAGTAAACGACCAGACGGCAAGCCCGCATCAGGAAACTACGACTCCCGCATCGGGTAAGGTGCGTACACGGGCCCGCCGCCGCTTTCGCGGGGTATAAAAATCTCGCGACTCCATCGCTCGCTCCTTTCCCTTCTTCCTTCCTTTCCAATAGCCCAACAACCTCCACCTTGTAACGCTCGGTGCTCGCTCTTCATACGCATTCGGCCCTTCTGCCTAGATTCCATTCCTTCCCACTAGGCTCCCCTGATCGGCCACGCCGCAGCTGAGAAGACGACGCCAGCAAGGTGCGGGGCAATTTCAACCAGAATCCACGATCCCCCCTACCACTTCAATACTGCTGAGCAGCTGTGATACAGCGGATTGCCTCGCAAGCTGCTTCGCATTGGCTAAGTTACGAGCTTTCCGTGTCCCAACATTCTCACAATCTGCCTCGTCGTCGCACTATCACCGTTCCTCACAGCAGGCCGCTCCGGAGATTGAGATACCGCAGACTCAGCCTGCATTCCTTACAGTACAATAATGCCTCACGATAACGCGGCCTGGCTTCTGCCTAGCTGCGCCGCAGGTGGATGACGTATGGGCAGCTTCCTGTAAGTTTCCTCATGCCGTAGCGCATTTCGTATTCGTTTGATTGCGCGGATCTGGGCTGATTCGAGACGAAAGGATCATACGGGGCTCTAGCAGAGCATTGCTTGTATCTGCTGAAGATGTGCCGATTGGATTGTGATAGCTGCTTGCATGATAGCTGAGACGCCAACGATGAGGATACCTGTGATGTGCAAGGTTGCCTGAAGCCTTCGGACAGGCGGATAAGGTGGTATCCGAGGATATACGACTCCTCCCTTCCTTCGACCGCCCCTGCCTCCTTGCCCAGCTTTTCGTGGCCTCGCCAACGATCGAGAAAGGATACTGAGATCGGTCGATCGTGGTGGACAGCGAAGTGGAGATGGTGGCCGCGGAGGGGCAATGGGCATCTTCCGGCATGAGAGCGCAGGATTGAAGGTCTCAGGCTCTGGCAGCTGCGGTAGATCTCTGTGTGCATGAGGGGCGGCATTGACGCCAAGGCATTTTGACGGTGGGTACGTCAGAAGAGGGGGGAGAATGGCACTCCAGGAGTGTACGGTGGGCCGCAGAGGGTATTCTTGTTCTGCGAGGGCAGTGCGAGAAACCCTATATAAGTCCTGATTCCCCCCCCATCTGCTATCTTTCTGCAGTCCAGTTTCCACAGCCAGCAGCAAGCAGAAAATATCTTGAATACTTCCAAATATTTCCACGCGCTCAAGATGGCCACTTTGGCCTTCAAACCATATACTTATGTGCCAACTGCTCCGCGTTCCAAGAGCGCAACAAGCCGCCGCAAACCTTCCTCGAGGCCAATCAGCATCTTCGACAAGCTCCAGCGCATTAATCCGAGTAGTACAGAACTCAGCATGCCGCAATCAGCAGTTGCTAACGATCGTGGGAGTAACGATCTTGGAATCCGAGGTACGTTTTGAGATCGAGATATTTGGCTGGTAGCAATTGTAACTAACCTTGGACATCTGAGAGCAGGGAACAGTATGGTCACCAACGATAACGAAAACGACGACGACTTCGACCTTCCCTCTATCGAACAACTGCTATATACCACGCTACAGAAGGAGAGCTTTGCAGCGGAGGACCAGCTTTTAAATAACGCGACCTTCGAAGTTGGGGATAGAACTATAAATGAGAGGGGCGGCTCTCTTAATAATAACGGGTCAGTACCAAGCAGTAACCCAAGCGGTAGTCCAGGTGAGTACGCTCTCTATCCTTTATCGTGGAAACAGACAACCAGTTTTCTAATATGGCATAGGAGATCTAATTGTGCTACTGGGCGATGACGACTCAAGTGCCTCTGAAGCTGAAGTCGACGACAGTGGTCTTTGTGCTGAAAGTGCAGCGGCAGATGAAGGTCTTCTTAATAGCCCAGAGACCGCCATCGACTCAACAACCCCGGCCCCTCCCAATTCCGACGTATGGCACGATATTAATGACCTACTCGAGACGGCAGAGCGCTTGCGGCACTCTGAACCAAAACCTTTGACGTTAGATTCTATGCGCCATCATACTTCCTCTACTTCCAGTGCCTCGAGCGAGCCATTGCACGACCACATCAGTGCAGCAGGCCACTGTACGGTCTGCGCTAAGTCTGAGGCCACGATGTACCCTCCTGCTCGTTATCGTAATCACCCCCCCTACCATCTTCCTACGGTGCGAAGCGCAGCAGACGAGCATGAGCTGGTCCGCCCTGCACTGAATTCCGATATCTTTGATGAGGAGGAGAGACAGCGACAGGAGGAGGAGGAGCAGGATGATTGGGGCTACGGCAATAACAACAATAACGAGGACGGCAGGCAGCTGCAGCAAGAGGTAAAAGAAGATGTGACAGCGACGCTGACGTCCGAAAAAGTTGGCGATACCCATCTATCCAGCAAGGATGAAAGCTTAAGGCTGGCCACCCACGATCCATCTCCAGAGCTGAGTCAGGATAAGTTAGGGAGCCATAGCAGTAATTCCAGTGACGACGAGCTTAACAGCAATCCCGTGTCGATCAATGTGGATAGGGAACCACGTCCTGCTAAGCGGAAACGATCATCCTCATCTAACAACCCAATATACAAGAAGCGCAAGCGTCATCTTGAGCAGAGGTCTAACCCCCAACGTAGACCACACGCCAAGCTCCGTCAGCACTCTCCGAAATCATACTCCCCTCTTGATCATGGTTCAAGAGTCACCGCAGTGTCTAGTGCCAGGGATCGATTGCCTTCGCCAGCACCTTTGACGCCACAAACTATAGATACAGAGATACCATCTGATAGCGACAACCTTGGCCGATCATCTAGTAATATCCTACCGACGCTAACCGAGGTTACATTCCGTCCACACTCTACACGCTGCTGCTCCTTTATAGCGGTGGTCCGAGATAGTCGCGACGGGCGAGGAATCTCTTTTAGCCAGCTTGCCCAACTTATCGAGAGCGTTGGCCATGTGGGGAGAATTAATGACTTCACTATCAAGCCAATAGAGCAATATTCGTTCCTGTTAACTGGCTTCAGCCGGCATACCTCATCCCCGCTCTCCAGTGGCACGATTTTATCGCCTATTATGGAGGCAAACTATGTCTTCGACAACGCGCCTTTAACTACACTTTAGCATAGCAAAGCCGTCGGCGCTAGAGCTCTGCTATCGGAAGAGAGTGAACCATTAAGTAGCGATAACGAGAGTAGTTTGAGTGATAGCGATCCTGATCTCAGCAGCGACGATGACGCCTGTTCGAGTAAAAAAAAGCAGGGTTCTAGCGTAAGGATAAATATCCCATGGGATCCTGTAGACGAGCAGCGCTTGCTGGCGTATAAGAAGGAGGGCAAGTCGTGGAAGTGGATCTTCCGCCAGTTCCCAGGCAGGAGTCAGCCTGTAGTACGCACACGTTTGAACATCGTACAGGCCAGAGGCGAGTAGGCTTCCTCGCACAGGTGGACAGGCGGCTTTTGGTGCATACTTGTCCATTGAAATTTGACAGGATAAACCGAGCGACATATCGTGCGTGGGCCCGAGAAGATCTTCTCACCCGTCGTCGTATATGCCATGTCGGATACGGAAGTTAAAGCCATTGCCTCTGAGCCGTTATCTGCCAAGCGCCAGAGGGAATTATTAGAGAATGGTATTAAGAAGTTGCAGGATAGGTATAAGATTTTCAGGGGTTAATAGCACTGGATAGATGATAATACTGGAGTTTCTCAAAAGGTTTTTAATTCTGTGTGAATCCGTATTCCGTATTATCGTGCTATAGCCTTAGTACTAAGATTAATAGGGCTTTCTGCAGATTTTCAGTGCTCGAGACAAAAAGAATCGAATGTCTGCCTCCAAGGACGTTAACGTACTATTAATAAAATTCCAAGTAAGTTCTAAATTTAGCAAGAGTAGGTCTTCCTCACCTCTTCCCGCATTCCCTTAATAGTGAGCGTTTTCAACTGTAATATAAGGGGAATTGAACAATTTTTGAAATATTAGCTCCTTAAATATCTCTTGCGGGGGGTCAGTGGGTATGGAAGCTGCATTAGACGGGAGAACGGGGTGGGTAAAGGGAAGGAGAGGTAGAGGTTCCTCATCTACTTGCTAGGCACAACAATGTCTTTGATTAAAACAACTGCCGGGTTAACCATATAAATCAGTCAATTTGCTTTATTATATCATATAGATTGCCCCAAATCTTCACAGTAAACAAATGCTCCCAGGTCCTCTTCTCGCCTATGTATTTACCTCCTTTCCTAAACAGCCAATTACCTTGAAAGCGTTCCCATCTTCAACTAGCGTCTCGAGATTAGTATAGCTCTACGGGTCGAGCCCTTTTCTTTGGCTTTTTAAATGCTTTCCCATTAATTCTCTGAGACAGTGAAGTATTAGGGGTAACGTCTCGCGAACTAACACGGCTTGATTAACTATTAGCTTCCTCTAGTAAAGATATAGCATCATGACTTAATTAGTCGGAGAGATAATGGCTTTCTAGCCCCTGTGAGAGTCCGGATTCCCCTGGCTCGGATTACTCCAAGCTCTCAAAATCCAGATCGGGCGGTAACTCATTAATAACTAAACAGATTCTTTTTAAGTGAGACGGCATCCATATGTCATAAATATTCTTGGTGAATTTATATGCCGTCCATTTCTCTTTGCCATCTAGTTCCGTGAAGCTGAACTCACGGATCGGATGGCGATAGAAAGTGGTCTTTTTTCCGTTAATTACAGGATAATGACCGTAGATTCTCACCGTCCGGTTATTATACGAGACTAAGAAGGCGAGTATCTCCCGGTAAAGCTCCTTTTCGCGTTTCACAAGCCTAAAGAGTTCGATAATACCCCTCACGGCCATCGTCATGCTATGAGCATTCTGTCGGTCCGCAATATCAAGCGCTATAGCGCCGCACTTGACCTCGCATATAAGAAACGGAAAGTATATATAGTATATACCCATAAAGAGAGACATTTCCGAGAAGCCACTAATAAACGGCTGGATTTTTTTAAGCTAATCTTCGGTGAATGCAGTTCGCTTGAATCCAATAGCATAGTCGGGTTGCGGACGAGGCTTAGTTAGAGCAATGGAATTGTCCTAGCCTTCATTAACACTTTCGATTAATGTTTTTAGACGTTTGGCGCCACGTATAGCTAGAGACTGAGCGGAAGGAATAATTAGTCAAGCGATATCTTGAATAACCTTGGCCTCGTTCCTGTCTTGTATTATTTCGCACGTCTCGTCGAAGAGATTATCCTGAAACAATGAATCCTCTGGAACTATTTGCTCAGCTTTAAGGAGGGACCGGCAAACGGTCTTGCTTGTGTCTATAATACCCAAATCTGATTTGCGCATGAAGCTACCCTTGGTCTCGAGCAGGATTCTATATTGCGGGCTTTAATACGGAGCACTTTTGGCTTCCCTCGGCTTTTGATCGCTGGGTGTGGTAGAGCTGGGCGCGGCAGAGCCAGCTTCCGATTATTTACCGCGAAAAGATAAAGAAGATTTCTTCCTCGCAAGCAGATAATTCATGTTGGTCTCCGATTCGAAGTATTCCTTAGGCCAATGAAGCTCCCTCCTCTAGTATTCAAGTGGGTTAATCTCCTCCCCGCTATTACCGACGGCTGCGTTCTCGCCGATTGTGCCTTTGATAGGAGATTGTGGAGGGGACTTTCGCGGTCGCTTTTGAGAGGGAGTGGCACTGGAGGGGAGGATGAGTTCGTCTTCTTGTGATCGTTTTCGTTTTCGATCTTTGATCTGTGGAAACTTGACTTGAGTTAGCTTTATAGCATAGCAGGAGGAAAGTGGCATGCCTCTTTGCCAGGAGCTTTGCTAGTTGGGGAGGAAAGCGGGTGCTTTGGTTCGCTATCCTTGGATATAGTGCGAACCTGGCGGCGTAGGCGTGGGCTTCTACGAGGAGAAAGTTGTGGGCGTTCTTTCTTGATACCTTGTGGCCGCGCTTCTATCAACGATCAGTCAAAGTACACGACCGGTGTGCATGGCTTACTTACGTTCGCCTTTTGGCACCGAGCATTGCCGCCCAACTTTTTGGATGTTTCGTTTTGCTTGACGCGGGGCCATATCGACTGGAAGGAGGAGGGATAACAAGTGGGTTTATATTACCGCTGAGGTTAATGGATAAAGGGGGGAGGAAGAGTCAGAAGGAGCGCGCCAAACGTGGGGTGGTCGGTAATGAAATGCGCTAGAGTTTGGGATAGAAAATGGCGGCGGCAACGATTCCTATTTTTATCCATTTAGCGATCGCAGCATCACCCTTCATCCGGATCCACTCACATCTGAGACTAGCTTATCCAAAGCAATTGTAGACGGAGGAAGTCGAGCTGCTTTGGTCGGCTCTGGTATTGGATCAGAAAGTTTGCGGATCGCAACGTAGGCTGCGCGGGTGACATTAGTTGGTGCTAACTCAATAAAGATTAGTTTGCTATTCCAACCATACAAATCTGGTTTGCGGCCTGATCCGTAAGGTAACATTTGGCAACCCCACTTACCGAGGGAACGCGTCAATCCAGCGCCGAACGCGAGCCACCCCTCGATCTGCGGCCACCTCCTGGACGAACTTTTTGGCTGCCTAATATTGTGTGCATGTGCATGCAGCCAAATTAGGCGTTCCTCAATGCATTATGTGCGATTGGGGGAGGGGGGGTCTGGTGAGTCACACACTGCCTAGCAACGATTAGAATGCTCTCTGGGACATTTTGGGAGTGGTTGTGATAGTAGCATCAAGAATTTTAAATTCAAAGAAGGATGAGTGGAAGCTGCCATGGGGGGAGCAGAAGGATAGAGTATACAGAAAGGATGGCAAGGTTTGAGGGCGCCGAAGAGATTAATGACAAGCTGTCGGCACCTCTGAATGATCAAGAATCTGACATATGCAGTGAGGGTTTGTTTACCTAGACCTTGGAGAATTAGGCTTTTACCACATAGAGCCATTTGAGATAAAAAATGTATAATACAAGGCTGGTTGAATCTTATTTATTTGCGCACCAAATGGACAGCTCTTCCCCCTGCCATGCGCAGGCCGATATCTCCCCAGAGCAAATCAGATGGCATCAAACCACACTCTGCAAAGTCCCTTTTCGTCCTGCACGTAAACCACCCTCTTTTACCATCGAGCGAGGTCGGCTTCTATCGGCTCAGCACGACCAGTGCTGGGAGGTACAGGCCCAAAGTTTGTCACAGGCACCTTCCTAGGCTTTCCGAGGTATCTGCCACTGCGAAAGAGATAAAAAAAAAAAGCGACAGGTTTGATGGTCTTGGAATCTCCAGCTTAATCCTTTTCCTCGCCTGAAAATAGTCAACTAAGCACTCCCGATAAATGATAGATGGCCAGTATTTAAAGCCCAAGTTTGTTTACCTCGCAGGTAATGCTTAACTCCTTCGATGCTCAATCCTTTGATGCTCACTCAGCCCTTCGCGCCGCATGTAGGACATTCGCCTCCTTTGATACCGTCGCCGTGGCAAGTTTCGCAGGAAGGAGACATATTTTTGTTTAATAGAGTGAAGAGGATATTGGTGGTATAATGCGCGACTCTAATAATTTTCAAGATATACGGACAAAAGTGCCGTTGCGTGGAAAGGGAGATGTCGATCGAAGTGGGAGCCCAACTCTCAGCGGACGAAGGGTTTAAATAAGTTCAGATCCTGCCGCATTTGCCACGAGAGCAGCTACGAGAGCACACGAGAGCACCTTCGGCTAATTATCTTTAACAAATGTTAATTGGCTGGACGGATGATTGAAAATCGGAGGACTCCACTTCCTTCGCTTTCTCGTCTCCGACCGTGATCAATCGCCCTTAGTAATGTCGAATAATATATGGCTATAATGCTCCTGCTCTGCTTTCTTCTCAACGAGCGATGCATTTCGTGCTCACCTTAATAAATACCGAGTTAGTATTCCATTACCTGCAGGTACAGAACTGACTTTCTCTAGATTTTCGAAGGGTATTTGTCCGCTTAGCTAGAAATATACTGATCCTACTCGAAAGTAAATAGCGACGATCCAGATAGCAATAACGATCCAGATATATACGAAGATGCCGAGAGGCCTAGAATAAAGCATAACTGTCCTTTCAAAGATTGCAATAGAAACGAATTATTCAAAATGCGACAGAATCTTCAGAGGCATTTTGAGTAATATAGGCCTCTGTCTTTCCCCTCCAAGCGGGATTATTAACTTTAATACAGATATCAAGTATAAAGAGGTATACATATGCTATTAACACGTTTCAAGACAAGCCAGGGACTATATAAGACATGCCGAACGGTACCAGGACATAGGTATAATTAAGACTACCTATATAAACCAGATATATAATGACTTGCACAAGCGGGCTGCCGACGAACTAGATCTCGCAAAACGTCTTTCCCATATTAAGAGAGGCAATAAAAGAGCACACGAGGTTGGAGATATAGGGTTAAGGACTTCAGGAGTTCGAAGGGCCAAGTTATACGGGATTAGTATTACGAACGAGCTCGATTTTCAGCCTGCCAATAGTATTAACCTTCTTGAAATGTCTTCTCTGAGCTCATATTAGACAAGATGCATATATAGCTATCTCCTTCCCGTAGTTAGTAATAGCACTTATGCCTGGCTCGAATATTGCCGAATATATAGCCAGAGCTAGCTTTCCGAATATTTTAATAGAGGCGTTCTATCCCGGGTCTATTAAAGGACTAGCCTTAGCTCTAGATAATATTAACTTCAATGCTCCTATATTTGGTATTATAAACTGGCCTGGGCTATGGACGGGATAGATATAAACAGAGAATATGGCTAGGAATATAGGGAGCAGAATGCCTTAAGTAGTAATTAATAACTATGTATTTATACTTGTAATAGAATCTCTAAATATAAAGTTTATTTTGATCTTTTGGAATTTTCTGTTTTCCAAGTTACGCTCTATATCTCTTACCTTTTATATTAATTCTAGTAAGCTCGGAAGAACTATCTTTGGCTAGTTCTTAATTATATCTGCTATTACAAATTCAAATATAATTATATACCCTTCCTTGAGTTTAAAACTAATTCGAGTATTAAAAATTATTCTGCAAAATATATTAATATATATAACTATACTATAGAGTAATAAACTTATATACTACCGTTAGGAAATGCTTTCTTTTCGTATTAGTAGCCTACTTTATCTAGTATAGATTGAGAAATTTCGTTTAAGAACCTTATTCCCTTTATAGTAGGCAAGAAATAGTTATGTAAGCCGCCGTAATAGCCAACTCGCGATCCTTTAGCTAATAGATAAACTGCTAAAGCCTGCCGTCCAGCCTTTAGACTATCTCTCCTAAAGTATAAGATATGGCCCGGGTATACTATATATCTTAGGTAGTATACGAGAATACAGGTCTCGTTTCCGAAGAAGGATTCTATAATAAATAGGATATACTAGAAGATATTAGATAAATAGTATAAATATTTTACTATATTTACTATATTGAGAACGTATTACTAGCAAAAATCCAGGCCATATTCCGAGAAAAACTCAAAGCCCTTCTTTTCTATTTCCTGGATAGTATCTCTAACTATTAGGTCTTTATGGTCCAGGAAGCCATATTTAAAGAGAGTCTCTTTTGCGGCCTCTATAGAGGAAATGGCAGATTCTATAGGGGATTAGTGGTCTGTTTTTATATTAAAAGGCAGTAGTGCTCAAAAGGTATTAGGACTTAACTATATTCTCTTGTATGCTGTCATTTTCTTATCCTAGTATGTTAGGTAGCAATAATACAAAGCTAAGGTAGTGCTAGTAGTGTACTAGTAGTGGGGTAATTTGCTTAGTCAGATAAGAACTTTCGGATCCCAAGGGTAACTATTCCTTTACGCGCCACTTTACTAAGCATTTTTCATTATCTGATATCCTTATTTGTCCGCGGATCCTCTTTTACTATATAAATTTAATAGCCCGGATAGTTATTGCGGCTGTCAAGATTGCCCTACGCAACAGCCCGCCCGTTAAATTCGGTGAGCTGTTCTTGAGGGATCTCGACTTGTGACTACAACTCCTAATCCTTCCCTTGATAGGGACCACAACTTGTAATTATACCTCCTAATCCTTCCCTTGACAGGGACTACAACTTGTAATATCCTCCACACCTTTACGCACGCTAGGGCCAAGATAACTCATGTTAGCAGGGCGTATATATGTACAATAATGGTGTCTGCCTCTGCAGCCATATCCGGAAACGGTCTAGCAGATCAAAGCTCCTGAATTGGTATAGTAAACTAGTAATCCCTTTACAGGTATAAAGCTAGAGAATAGTCTACTGAGATAGAAGAACTCTATTATAAAACATATAATAGTACAAAATTTTCCAGTACATTTCAAAACACAAATACAAATCCTTTAGAAAGTATATACGCTTATTATATTCGTACTATTATTATAGTATTATACTACTAACTCTATTATTAGGATGGCTTCTATTAAAATTAAGGAACTAATAAATTATTGTGATTTCAAGACAGGTTATTATATGAATAGATCCAGATATATATATAAGGAACGTAACTATAGATTAATAACTTGCAAATATTCGTCTAGCTACGTGCCTCCCCTAGCTTAGTAGTAGTAGAATGAGTAAGTATAATAGTTTATTTGCCTCTCAGAAAGTGCTAATAAGATTTAGGTTTATCCCGAACTATAAACTTGGGTAGCCGGATAGAGGCAGAAGGAGTAAGGTCGGATATAGTCAGGATGTTTTATTACTAAAGTTGGTTTAGCTATACTACTATAGTAGCTTAGATAGGAAAATCTCAATGGCTTTTTGGCATTCTTTACTTGAAATAGTAAATCTTGTTAGATAATTTATATCTTATAAACTTGAAATAGAAAATCTCGAATCTTTAATAATCTATATTTATTATTCTCGGGCCTTATAAACTTGAAATCCTGACTCGTCTATCCTCTTGTCCTAGCCTTAAAACCTAATTTTTCTTCCTTATATTAATAAGAATCAAAGTCCCCAATAATCGGAGTATCCCTATCTATTAGAATATTAGTCGGATTAAGATCGCAATAAATGAGATCCAAGCTATAAAGGTACTAAATACCCTTCTAAATACCCCGTAAATAGAGGTCTATATTAAAAGGGCGAGAGTTCTTAGTTACTCTTTCTAATAAATTCATGCCATACTTAATAAAACAAAGGCCCGTTATTCTATTATTCTCGACTATATACCCAAGATATCGAGTAATATTAGAGTGGGGAAATGCCCTCAGGATCTCGCAGACTTTAGCCTTATTTAATAGGAGACTACTTAATTCAGTAGAGGCCTTGGTATTACCGTAATATAGGAGACTAGGTTACTTTATATAATAGTCCTGAGGTAATGGCTCAGGTACTCGTATAAATTATCTTGGGAATAGCGGCCAGATTTGCAAAGTTAGAATCGGGACAAGGTCGAGTTCAAGTAGATTGACTTGGAAATTAGCGAAGTAATAATGACTCGTAATTATATAGTAATATTAATTATCCTCTCTAAGTATTATCTTGGTATGGGAAAATACAAGATCTCTATTCTTTTTTACGAATGCCTCGTTTTATTTGCAAACTTCTATATTCTACTCCCGTTAGGAAATAATAGTCAAAATAATCAAGTATACCTACTAACGATTTCTAGTAATTATGGGAAGACAGATGAAGTTGGGTACGGGAAGGTTTTGAAATACTAATACTTATAAAGAATTTGAAGCGTAATCGTTTCGATTACCTTACGATAATTCTTCAGGTTTCTAGCCTTACAGACCAGGCCAAACACTAGTCAGTTCCAGGTAGCCGTGTCGGCTAATGCCAGTTGCCAATAATGTCTTAAACTAAAGGTTATGGATTATATTTTGCTTCTTTAGTAGCATTATAATAGGGTATATCGTGATAGCGAGAGGAGGGAAGGAAGGCGCTATCTGAGAGCGTGAAAGGGAAAGACGCGATACGAAAGGCCCAGGAAAGTATAGAAGCCACGTGGGTCCGCTAAAGCACGAATTAGTTATTTTTTCAGGCGGCGCTCCCTGTTCTCGGCTACTACAACTTGTGATCCCTCCATTAACAGGGACTACAACTTGTAATATTCTCTGCATCTTATAGCTATTACAACTTGTGATCCCTCTATTAACAGGGACTACAACTTGTAATATTCTCTGCATCTTATAGCTATTACAACTTGTGATCCCTCTATTAACAGGGGCCATAACTTGTAATATTCTCCACATTCCTATAAGGATCACAACTTGTGATATTCTCTATATCTCTATAAGGACCACAACTTGTGATCCCTCTATAACAAGATTACAACTTGTGGTTGCAGTCTAGTAGAATCACATTTACTAATTAGCCCAGGCTCAGGTCAGCGAAACTTCATACTAAGCGAAACATTAACAGAACGAGATATATAGCACATTACCATAAGACGCATTACTTTATGCTTTGTTCAAATAATGAAAATATAAACACAGTTTGCTATCCTTCAAGCATACACCTTCTGAAAAGGTACCGCACAGAGACGTTCTATGTGGGATAACTAGACATATCAATACTACTATATGGCAAATCGATACCCTATAAACATTTCTTCTAATATCGTCCTATAGATATATACCTCTCTCTGCATTGTCTAATTAAGGGCATTATTTGGAGAGAGGTTAATTGTTTGGAACCAGGTTCCTGCTTACAGGCTGTGGAAGACATTAATGAAACTTTTGCAATACTTCACTTTAATGTATCATTTCTCCTGCGTTATCCATATAATGAACTAAAGCCATTATGATTATCCAGGGGCGTGTATCATATCTCAATTATAGGCCGCTAGCCGCTTCGGGAATAAGGATCTATATACGAGCTTTAATGCTTTTATAGCACTGACTTAACTAATTAGAAGCTCTAATAATAGAGATGGTATTATACGGAGACGTTCCATTTTTGGGAATTATAGAATCAATACGCCACGAACTCTTCCCCTAATAATATCTTGCTTCCCCTATACTACTATATAGAGAATTGGCGAAGCCATCTTGATTATTCAGGCCCTAACGCATTATACTGCGGCTATAGGCTAGAAGTGCATTCAAGGGAAGTCCGGCTTCCTTTATTATAACACAGAGTAATAGACGGATATATAAGGGTATAATTTCTCTAACATTTCCATTACTCTCTTCTTAGTATCCAGTTCTTCTAATTATCTTTCCAAACCGCTAGTATATATCTTGTCTGTCCCGTATATAAAGCAATCTATTATCTATCTGTCTAAAAACATCCTATTATATCTTATAGAACAAGAAAATGGCAGGATATATTAAGAATACTTCCCTGCTAATTCAAACATTCTCGGACGCTTAAGCCTCGATCCTGGACTTCTTATTCCCAGGCTTTACTTGCATATCTACTACTATCCAAGAATATCTTACTATTAACTTAAACGTCTATATTCCTCTACTATATTTCTCTGGGTTAATAGTGTTTAGTTACGGACGTATTTGCCAGTACTTATAGAGATTACTTAAGACTTATTATAGTAAGAACTCCCTCTATCTGAATAAGACCCCACCTTCTAATAATTAGTAGCTTTAATTATTTATCTTTAATATTACGAGGATATATATAATATATTCATATTATAGATATCTTCTCAGAGCTTTGCCAAGAACGCTCGCTCCTCTCTCGTTACTACCGACTTGGCCTCTTTATTAAATCGCTCGAGAAATAATCCTTTAAATAGCGGAGATATGAATAAAAAGACTTTATATTACATGCCCTGGAATAGACGCTTTTTTATACGGTATAAGGGCCATCTGCTTGTGTTCCGGTATTAATATTAAGCTAGAGATTTCAGTAGCCGAGAAGAGGTCTCTATTTCCTGCTTTAGTAGATCTCCTCAAATTCTTAAGGAACTATTCTCCGAGTACTATACCGAGTATATAAAGCTTATTTAGAGTAAAACCTGTCTCTATAAGTACTAAGATAGCAAGTGGATTAGGTCTATAGTATCTAAAGTAAGATATACCTCGACCGTTATTCTTAATAAGGGTAGAAAAAGAGAACTACTACAAGATATTAAGGAGTTCCTTTATCTAGTATCCCGATAATAGTATTCCGATTATAATATTTCCTACCGACGGGATTACTTATTATATGGACCTCCTAGAACTGGAAAATCGAGTTTGAGCTCGTCTATTACTAGTTATTTTAGTTTAAATATCTATATCCTTAGCCTTTCTACTATTAATAAAGCTAGCCTAAAGAGCCTATTTAATAAGTTTCCAAGTTACTATATTATTTTTTTGGAAGATATTAATGCTATTAGTTCGAATCGAGATACTAAAGTCGAGAACTCGTACCAAATTATGACTGGCTCTCTCTCCCGAATAAGCAAATTTATTAGTGAAAAGGTATCTTTATCCTATCTCTTAAACGTTATTAATAGTATAGGGTTACAAGAAGGCCGGATCCTAATCATGACTACTAATTATATTATACGCCTCAATAAAGTACTTATATGACCTAGACGTATAGACAAGAAGGTCGAACTCGGGCTCGCTAATAATAAAATGATAGCTAACCTCTTCTGTCTCGTCTTTAAGCCTGTAGAAGGCAACGTCGCTTTTACAGAGGACGCTCAAGTTATAGTAAGTCAGAGGGAAGAGGCTGAGAGAGTTGAGCGGTTAGCAAAAGGGTTTGCTATCAAGGTGCCGGAACTGAAATTCAGCCTAGCTGAAATTTTCTCGTTTCTTCTAGAGCACAGGAAATCACCGGAGGAAGCCATTAACAATGTGGAGCAACTCATATCAAAGCCTATTAGAGCAAAGTCGAAGCCGCTGGAGACATCCGCTGAGATAGCCCGAGATCCTAAGTTAGTACCCCTCTAACGGAGCGTAAATCGAACCTTGCTAATAATAAATTTAGGTGGGATGAGGAATCTTTAGCGACGGAAGTCTCAACGGAGATGGTTCAACAGCCCGCCCCACCGACCAGCCCGAATCTCTCAGCATCCAAGTGCTTTATTACGTTGAGTAATGCCCAAGACTTGGTCCAAGCCGTCAAAGACATGCAGATAGCCTCTGCTCATACCACGAAATGCACATACTCTCATACTCCTCCTTTAGAGGGGACTTTAACTTTCTGCTCGTCAACTTTTCCGACGAACCAGCCACAGCCACAGATTGTGACTACTGAGCATGTCTAATAGTTCTTTGATATTCTCAGGTCTCTCAGTACCAAGCAGGAGCCGCCATCTCCGCCTGCCGCTACAGACAAAGGTAAATCCGAGGAACCGCCAGCTCGAGCTTCGAAGCTTGAGTTCAAGACCGTTAATGAAATGTTCGTCTTCCGTGGCATGCAATTCCAAGCTTGATGGAGCTAATACCATTCATATAGTTGGGACACAAAGGCATACAAGTACAAGATTGTGGAATCAATCACGCTACCCGACGAAGAGAATGAGCTGGATCAATATATTTTTGTAGTTCGCATGCGGATTGGTGAGTATCCTAGCCTCGGTCCCAATCTCTATCCTGACTGCAAAGCAGATAGGACGACTGAGAAACAGATATACCACGTTGATATTAAATCTGAGGGCTTGCGAGACGTCCTCAGGTCGGTTCTGCAAGACGTCAAAGGCATCTGCCTGCGAGAGACGAAACCTTCAGTATAATTACCCTGGACTTTCTAATAGGAAATGGGAGTTGGTTTAATTGCTAACTATGTCTAGGTTGAATAGAACCTGCTCTTCTACTATCTCTCTGATCTCGAGGCGTATCGAAGTAATACTGTCCTTGACGACTCGACGCTCCAACATCTTAGTTTGTTGGTCGATTTCATTAAGAAAACCTATGAATCTACCGCCGAACGCCTCTCTGCGCTTCTTGAGAAGCGTGAAATTACGTATGACCTTCTGTGGGCCTTTTTCAAGCCGAACGCGGTCATTTACACTACTTGTGTCGGCACAGGCAAGCCAAGATGCGTCAAGTATGATTTTAGCGAAGAGAGAAAACAAATCGACGGAGTAGAGTACTTTTATATAGGTTATTACTATTTAGACTCCGATGGGAAAGTTTTTGGCGAGGTATTGACTGCACTTGGGATTGAGAAATTCCGTGGGACAAGGAGGATTAACTCCCTTGGAGTCTTTCCCCTCCCATACTATTAGAAAGAAAAGGAGACGAGAGCTTATCTGGACAAATGCGGTCGAAAGTTCCTCTCCCTTATGGGTGTCCACCATTACTACTACTAAGGAATCGCCTTCTATATAAAGAAAAACTATCCGGTTAAGCTACTTGTCAATAGTCGGATCATGGTCAATGCGATTTATTTCCGAGAGGCTAATCCGAACTACGCCAGAGCAAGCATGGATGAATCTGATAAAGAGAGCTCGTCGCTTTCTGGCTGGACTATTTTGGGCTCGGATGAGTCTGAAAAGTCACCCGATGCAGTTAAGAAGACTGGCATGGAGCCGTCAGACGTGAAGGGGGAAGACCTCCTAATCTGCAGCCCAACTTTGCTTGGGTTCAGCCTCGGTAACAAACTATGGGGTGAGCGCCCTATCTTCCCTGCTCGGCAATCCGAATTCCAGTATAGCTAATGTGTTTGATATAGCTGAGTTTGCGATTAATGATATTAGGGATATCGAATGGCAGCCCGAGGCTCTTTCCCACCTTCAGATACCCCAAAAGAAAAAGAAAGCCATCCATGTTCTTCTCGAAGCCCATATAAAACGAGCGTCAAGCGATTCCTTGTCGTTTGACGACTTCATTATAGGGAAAGGGCTGGGGTTTAACGTGCTCTTATAGTATGATGATCGATCTCCGTTAAATTCTGAGAATGCTAACATATATATTAGCGGGCCACCAGGTGCAGGCAAAACCTTGACCGCTGAGGTTCTGTCCGAATATTTCCAAATGCCACTCTATGCGGTATGTCTTTATGCATTAATAATCTCGTGTTCTTATTAACTTTGTAGGTCTCCGCTGGCGAGCTAGGTAGAACCGCTGAAGAACTCGAAAACCGATTCCCTCTGATCTTTGAGCGAGCTTCAAAATGGAATGCACTCCTTCTCCTGGACGAAGCGGATGTTTTCCTCGAGCAATGCTCAATCGGTGATATTAACCGAAATGCTCTCGTTTGTGTTTTCTTACGGACCTTGGAGTATTACCAGGGGATTATGTTCTTTACAACCAACCGCGTAAAACAGATCGATGATGCTATTGCAAGCAGGATATACTTCAAGATCAAGTATAATATTTTAGGCCCAGACCAGAGAAGAGGCGTGTGGGAGTACTTCCTGAAAAAGGCTACGATACCTCAAGGCCCGCTAGTATATAGTAAAAGTGGCCTTGAATCTCTGGTGCAGAAGCCGTTGAATGGTCGCCAGGTAAGCTCAACTTATTACTTGCCCTCAAGAATAGAATGCTCACCTTCGTGCCACTTTCAGATTAAAAATCTCACCTCTACGGCCTATGCCTTAGCTCTCCAGGAGGGAACTCAGGTGACTCTGTCTTATCTGGAATTCGCAATTGAAGCAGGCGAGGACTTCGAACGTGATGTCAACGGCGCAGGGTCGATAGAAGCTATGCGTGGTTATTTCTAGCAGGATAAAAACATCCAGAGGGGTCTAATCTGAGCCGTTCTCCAATAGAAATAGTGTTTATAGTCTCACGAAAGTCTGCTAGACTGTAAATATGGATCATGCCTCGTTTCTCTGGGTTCTGTTTGGTGATATTCTCGGCTACGGAGGAACGCACGTCGATGAGGAGGCAGGCACTGTGCCATTCCCAATTAATATTCTGCTTTTAGAAGACTGCAGCTCGCGTGGGTGCCATCTTGACCCGTATATGGCTTCCCGTGCGTGTTGGCTCTCTCATTCCATTATATATATGAGCCTTCCTCTCCCTGAATAACACTTTTCGAACGAGAGCCCAACCTTTGCTCTTCTAGCTGGCTTCTTGATCATGTGGTCTACCGGTTTCGGAGGTGATTGTCCAGGTTTGATAGGGTATTGGTATTTCAGGCCGCTTACCCAGCCAAAATGGCGCTTTTTCCTCTTGTTGTGAGTGCCGTCTAAGTCTCGGACCGAAGAACACTAACAAATTATTAAAGTATTGCACGATACTTGGGGCTCATTATTAATACCATCGCTTACTGGCTATATAAGTCAATCCCTGTCCCGGAAAATCCGACTTACTCTTGCAAAGATATTACGATTATCCTTCCAACTATCTCTACTAATATCGAAGAGCTTTAATAAATAATACAAAGCATGTTGGCCTGTAATCCGGTCCAGATATTGCTTGTTACTACGGAATATTAATACAGAACTCTTTGGAAGTTTTCCAAATTAATAAATGCAAGGAATCTTAAAGTCCTCAAAGTTCCGGTCGCCAATAAACGCCTCCAAGTCTGCAAGGCCGTCCCTTTCGTTAAGACCCGTATTACGGTTATAGCTAATAATAATATTATATGGCCGAGTACCATATTTCCTTGGCTTTTAGTATCCTTCGAGAATAAGAAAATAGGCGTAGTCGGGACATCTTAGCGTATAAGACGTCTCAAAACCGGGACTATTATGGAACGATATTATAATTGGTTAGGTGCTATATATATCGAACGGCGTAACTTCGAAATATTAGTAATATACTATATTGACGGAGACACTTCATGTATGTCTGGAAGGACATGTGCTCTCCGAACTAAGATCTTACAAGATAACGATTTCTTGCTGGGATTCGCAACGGAGACATAGAGAGGGCATCTTCTCAAGGCTGACGACGACAACTTTATTATACGCTGGCTAGTTGCAAAGAGATAGAAGACTTGGGTTTAGTATAGCCGAGAATGCGAGATTGAGATAACTCTTGAAAATAATCCCAAATTTCGCTTTTAATATAGCAGGTAGGCCAGAAGTAATTAGAGAAGTAATTATACGAGTCTATTTATAGAAAGACATATCTGGCGGTAAGTCAAAGCTTAATAGGAATAATATAGCAACCTAACTATTATATAGGCAGCAACCTTGGTCTACCTATATTCTATATCTCTCTATATTTACAAATTTTGCTTTTATCCGCGATCCTTTGCTTTTTTGGTCATGCTATAATAGTACTTTAACCTTTGAAAATCGTATAAGGGTAACTTTACGTATTGCTTTCTTGATCTGGTGGCTGGCTACTAAAAACATCAAATTACTAGGGCTTTATAAGCGCAATATTTGGGATATTTGGTTCATGCCAGTATCTATTCTCTTCACCTACTTCCATAGTTATATTAAAGCCCAGGCACTTTTTTCTTTGAGCGAGGTATGATTTATCCTATTAATCAGAATGCCTGGAATCTAATACGTATTATAGACAAACTGGGGAAGTCGATAGGATCTAGCAAGGATTATGATTATTGATAAAGGAACAGAAAAGTCAATGAATATTGGTCGACATTTTTGTATTTATGCTTCTAATTGGTTTTAGTACATAGTCGGAAGTATTAACAGGAGACGGAAGATAATTCAGCACTGCAACAGTATCTCATATGTGGGTCCTCTATTGCTGCGGCAGATCCGGCAACAGGCACGTGATCATTCCTTCGCTTAGACTTGAAAAGGGGGGTTGGTTATATGACTGCAAGCTACACTCTATAATCCACCTCCGGCTTCTCGCAATAATTGTTTTCCGAGGCAGAAGCAACCAAACCAAAAAACGAACTTATCCCAGCCAAAATTTTGATTTCGCTTTGTACGGTTTTCGATGTGTACCAGCTGCTCGGGATGCGATTATGCAACAAAATGGGTTAAAATTTCTCACGTGATAATGCATCACGTCGGAGGAACTTCCAACATCCTACCTATCGAGGGAGTAGATATATGTTATACATCTTGACAATGAAGTGAGATTAGGCCATGAGACAGGCATCTTGCAATGACGCTGTTCACACGTGATATACTGGAAAAGCCATGATCAGAATCAGTGCTATTGGTGCTAAGTCTAAATGCTCCACAATACCGCATAAATCCAAAATGACAACTCGAAACAAATACAGAAGGAAAGGAAAATTCAACAAAAGAGGATAGCAAGCAAGTCCTAAGGGCCATGTATAAAGTAGGGAATGCTCCGAGACCTAATTAAAGAAAAGAACAACGGCTACAAGCTGAGCGCGTCTTGAATTGTTTTAAACGCAGCCATTAACTTTATTAGTTCTGCAGGATCTGCGCCTAGCTTTATATTATGCTTCTTTTCATACCAAGCAGTAAAAGAAAGAAAGCTAGTCGGATCGAATCCTTCTTGTACTCCTACCTTTATAGGCTATGCTTCGACCTTGACTGCAGGTTGCGCTTTGGCCTTAATTAATTACGAGACTAATGCTCTAATAAATGGAAAGGTCCTATCTTTGGTTAAAGTTAAGTTGGCCTTTTTTCTATAGATACAAGTACACTTATCCTTAACTCGATCTCGGCTTTCTGGTTCTTCGTTAATACCATGGGCTATATAGAACTGGGCCCTCTTACTCGTTTCTCGTTCTATGTATTTCCGAAGCAGATTATCTATAGCCCTTTTACTTTCTATCTAATCTTGAAGATCTATATACCATATCCAGATAAGATTTCCTTCTTTCCGCTTATATAAGGTATAGATTACGGGTTCCTTTAGTGGCTCCGGTCTACAGGATTCGGCTGCGGTATAGAGGATCTTAATAAACTTATCTTTCTTAGTTCTTCCGCTAACCTCTATTATATAAGGGCAGTTTAGATATGCATTAACCGTATTCTTAGTAAAGTCTTTGCGGGGAAGGACCTTAATATAAGGGCAGGCTTATAGTCTAATCGTAATAAAGAGTTACCCGCTATATACCTGGCCTTTTTTATTACCCTTTCTGAAATACTTAAACTTATATCCTATAATTATCTCTCTATCTTTAGTAAAGCCCGGTTTTCCTGAATTTAGTTTATTTAATTTATAAGGGTCCGTACTAATATTAGTTCTACCTATACTATTATCTATAATACTACTAGCTATAATACCGGCAGGAGCAGTACCTATAGGAGTAGTACTAGTAGTACCCGTAAGTCTAGTGCTATTTTCTCCAGATAGTAGGGGCTTTAGCGCTTTAGGCAGTGGCTTTAATATTCAAGTACTAGAATAAGAGCTCGCCTTAACTAGCTTAGCAAGTTCCTATACTTTACTAAGAAACTATTCTTTTGCTCTTGCGTTAGTAGGATCTTTTTCAAACTTTATAGCCTGGAAATAAGCCTTAACTATAATATCCTTAATTCTCTTTATATTAATTAAGTCAACCATATCCTCTTTATCGGAATAGCTCTATTACTAGCTTGCTATAGTATTATTTGCATCTAGAATTTCTATATAGAGCTTATTATTATTATTACTACTTAAGATCTTTTCTATAATAGATATAACGCATATATAGACTTCTTGGATAAAGGCTATGGCTTCTTTATCTTCCATATCCTCGTCTGCTTTCTTGTCTTAGATCAGTTTTAGCTCGTAATTTATTACTTCTATCCAGCCTCTAGTAATTCCCGATACCTTAATTATAGCTTGTAGTTCTGGTACTCTCAGTTAACAAATAGCAAGTTACAAGGATCTCGATTTACTTTACCAAGCCTCCTTATCCCGAGAAATCTGTAGAGCCTTCGTTATATAGATCTGCTTAATCTCCTCGAGCTAATTAACCCCAGAAATATTCTTTATACTAATAATCTACTTAATCTCCTCTAGGGACATAGCTTTTTCATATTATACTTCTCTAGGCAATATTAAAGTATAGCTAGGATTTATCTAATTAGGGATTAATTTGAGCTATTAGTTTATTTTATCTATCCACTTTTTACTAATACCCATTATTACATATACTATTATTAGTACTAATATATAGATTAAATAAAGTAGTCTATATTATTTAAGGAGGTTTACTTACCTGACTAATTGCCTTTATTCTTTATAGTAATTAGGGCCTTTGCCAGGTAGATCTTCTTGATCTCCTCTACCTAATTAAGATAATAATTAACTTTAATACCGAGAACTTTCTCAAGCTCCGAAATTTCTATACTCTAACGTAGTTAATCGGCAGCGATCCGCTCTGCATCTGGGCCGGGGGTCGGCTCTGGGGTCGCGAGGCCATTAGATTAAATAGTCCCTCTACCCTTGCCCATCTGAGCCGCCGCAGTGGCATTGGTCCTGTTGGGTGCGATGTCCGCCATAGTCACGTTTTGAGATCAGTTTCTTGGTGGTACGGTGAGATGATGATGCTCAGAAGTCAATGCTGCTCAGAAGTCAATGATGCGTTGCTGATTCTTCAATCCAAGAAGATTGCTCTGAGAGTCTTATATCTCTATCCCGACTCTCCTATCTTAGATTTGAGCACTCTTGAATTACTATTTTAGATGCAAATCAGCATACGTGAGGGAGCATAGCTATTTCTGGAAAATCTACTTTTAGAAGTAGCTTTAACGTACCAGAAATGGTGTTTATGCTGACCGGGAATCAAAGCAGTCAGCTATCATTGACATAGTGCACTTGCAATTCTTGATGACTGTGGCCACGAAAATTGACAGCCGTCAGCCTAGGTTCCATGGAATTATAGCTCAAGGATGACTACTGCAAGAACAATGGTTGCACAAGAACGAATGACACTATTCGGAACAATTGAAGCGCTGACATATGTCAGCTGCTTTGAAGGCTGTCAGCTTTATCTTAGCAGTCCCGATCAAAGATAGTTGATCCTCAATTTTGACTCCAGCTACGTCTGGTCATCAAGCAATAAACAGCAGAGTGAGGGTAACACTTCTCACCCTCAGTGCCGAGGACCTTCTCAGCCAGGTGAAACACTATTATATTCAACATCCATCTTTCAAGTGCGTATCGAGGATACGGAAGAAGTGCTACATGAGCCGCTTAAAGGAAACGAGGCACCCCAGAGGCTAGAAAAGAGGAATGACCTGGAAACTAGGCTAGGAGACGCGGTACGCGGGCTGAAAGAAGGCATGGGGAACACATTGAGTACTGGAGGAGCCACAGAAGAAAGACGCGGATATGCATCTGAAAAGGTGGGTATACTGCCAAAAAAAAAAGAAAATGGAGCAAATGGAAACTACAGCTGTACCAATGAAGGATGCAGCAACGTTCTTCCAGCGTGTAGTATAGAGATAGAAAAAAGGATTGAAGTTGACCGTAATAATTAACGAGAGATTCTCAAAAAGATCCACATCGAAGTAGAGAACTACGACAACAAGCATTATAAGTTATTGAGAGATCCTGTTAATAGCACAAAAAATACTAGTTGCGAGGCAGCATCAAGGATTTACTCCCCGGGTTACTTGTTTTTCGCATTGCCCTACCCACTCATAACCCCTCCTTCATGCCCAAGTTGCTATAATCCTCAACCGCCAGCAGGAAGAACGGGCCGCTACCAGGGTTGTGGACGAGCATGCACCTAGCTTAACTGAAGCGGCCGCCATCTCTTCTTCCTTGGAGCTTGTCCAGCTTGCGACTTTGATTCTTGTATCTTGCCTTTGTAAATAGTACATGCTTCTTCAATCTCAAGTTGCGTCCTTGGATTCCTCAAATCCCTCCATGATAATTGCGCGGCGGTATCGAGAGGATGTGGAGACTTGCGACCGATGAGCTTTGGGAACGGCTCGACCGGGAGACTCGTGGATGATATTTCTGCTTTGGTGCTCTCAATCACTGGCAAGGTTTCTCTGATTATCTTCACTTTTGAGGGATCCCATGCGCTGGCCGATGGTTGCTGTTCTGGCAATGATCGTGAAGGGTCGAGCACTGGAAACACCTCGTCGTCAAGCATATTTTCAGCTACAGTGGTGAGGAAATCCTCTTCTCCGCTCGTGTCAGCTGGCTGTTCAACCCATGGACGACTCGAACTAGCTAGCATTGGCGAGAAGATACAGTCGGCATTAGAGCTGACTTCCACCGACCAGCAGCGGCCAATACTGATAAAACAAGCCTCACGAGGAGACAAGCTCTTATGCTCTTGAAAAATGTCTCGCACTTGCGGGTCGGGATGCTGTAGGCTAAGACTGTATGCCTTTGTATCTTTATGGGACCCAAATTCCAGGAGGAGCATGACTAGCTCCAGCGTGCAGCTCCGAATGGTGTCGTTCGACCTGTCCGAAGCTTCCGGCTTGAGAGCGAGGTGCAGTGGTGTGCTGCCTTTCGATGTCCTAGCATGAACATCTGCGCCAGACTCGAGGAACACACGCGCAGACTTTGGCAATTGTCGAAGGCAAGCTGCGTGCAAAGAGGTATAGCCGGCCTCGCCCGCAATCGGGCTGTCAGGGTCACTCATTTTGTTAAAGAGAAAGATGGCGATCTCCTCATGCCTTGTCAATAGCGCCAGAAGGAGAGGCTTGTATCCCTTAGCTCCACACACCTCAACATTCCCTCCCTTCTTGATGAGAAGCTCCACCATGCCAAGATGTCCCGCCGCAGCAGCAGCATGTAGAGGTGTCCCGCGGCGTAGAGGCTTTCCATGAGTATCCACTTTCGCTCCCAACCGAAGGAGTCGCCGCACCAGGTTCCTGCGATCCATTTTTGCAGCCCATATCAAAGCACTCCCATTTGAGTATCGAACGTTGTGTTGCAGCAAATACTTCCGAAGGAGGTAGTGTAAGCGTCGGTAGGATCGGGCCATAGCGTAGACTTGTCCCTGATGTCTTAATAGTCCCGCTATGTGGAAGAGAAGTTCGTTTGGAAGGATGAGTAGAGACATGCTGTATGATGGAACGAGATGATGGGTCTACCACCTTGCTGCCGGCAGCTCTTCAGGAGTCGTAAGTTGGTGCTAGAATAGAATCCAAGGTGCTCTGTGCTGGAATGTCTGTGGATGGCAGACGTTGTATTCATCCTCCTACCACGTTAGCGGTGGTTGGTCCAGCATAATGCTAAAGCCTTACTGCAGAACGATCCATCGCATTCGTGGCACTCGACGGTGTTAGCTGGTGAGTTGAGATGCTGCTTTAGGGCTTGCTACCGAATGAGTGGTCTGTTCGTCAGCACAAGCACGTGATCTTGCAAATGTCGCCTTCGCGTGTGGACTTTGGAGGACCTTTTATTCTGTGCTGTTCCGGCCGTCCCCGAATCCTGCTCAAACCCCCGCTATCGTTAAACAGCTTAATTCATTCGCTGGTCAGTTATATACTCGAACTTACGAAGAGTACGAATCGCTATATAAGCAATATCCTTAACTAAGTTGGGAAAAATCGCGGATTTTACTAATAATCTTGACTTTCACGAGCATCTACGACTTATCAGACATTGAACTTGAGCCACTTATTCGCCACTGAGAAATCCAGACTCAACATCGCCCATGGCTGATGTAAATAATTTCCAAAGCTTTCCGCACTTTTCACAGCTGCCAAAGGAGGTACGGCTTATGATCTGGGAGATGGCGTTACCATGTCCCAGAATTGTGAGTGTAGAGATGAGGTCGCTGAGGAAGACATATCTGGAATGGGAACGGGAAAAGGAGGTCAGCAACAAGACAGCGGAAAACACCAGTGACAGCGAAACAATGCCCGAAGCGTCCAGGGCTACCTCTCTCGACTGTGAGCGTCCTGGGGTCGATCCACCACCCATAGATGGGCACCTTCCAGGGATCAAGTCGAATACTCCTCCGCCACAAATACTACTCGCCTGCCACGAATCATTTGCTGTTGCAACAAAGTTCTACGAGCGCGTATTTTCTATTCATCCTTCGTCTCCAGAAACCTATTTCAACTTCTATCAGGACACTTTATACATCCGGCACGACACATTTAGTTGGTATTCTGAGGGCGCCGAGTCAATAATCGACGGCCTCGTTTGTTTCAGTGTTCACAACGATAAGGAGTTGAATCGTGTCAAAAATCTCGCCGTTCTATTAGATCCTAAAAGCATTGTCTCTGTCGAGGAATGGTTAGTTGGGCTATTGTGCTTCTTTCGAGGAGTTGAAAGACTCTCGCTTGTTGTACAACACTACCATCAAGATGATTTCGCCTCTCCTCTCTGTCTGATCGAGCCGATCGACGTCGATGCGGCATGGCTTAATCTCCAGCTCTTCTTGTCGGACCCATATAAACAGGAGGAGATACCGGAAATACCAAGTAATGATAACATGGGATTGGCGGATGTAGACCTGGAGGTGCTTAGGGTTGCGATTGAAGCTGAAATGGGCCAGGACTATGTCGCCCCGAAAATCGAATGTGGAGTGATCGTTACCCGAGACTTCAAAGAGTACTTGGATTCTTTGCTAGAAAGATGTTTATTCGATTCTGGATAGGGATTGTGACGAATTCTGGGGAGTTTCTGAGAATATGAACGAGAGTGAAGATATATTGTGGCTACCTTTTACTAGAGCCAATTTTTTTTAGATAGTAGATTTTTTTGGTAATTTTAGCTCAGGTTCAGCCGCAATTCGAATAGGGTGATGGTCCGGCCTTAGAAACAACCCGAACAGACCTGCATAGTGGATCCCTTGTGCTTGCGACAGTGGCAAGTGGCGAGTAAACTCCTCATCGCGAAGCCAGACAGTAAGCCTAACCGAATTCGGTTAGCGCAGGGTGAAGAAGAACAGCCCCGCACCAAAATTCAATGTTGGATCAAGTCAATCGTCAGATCAAATCCACAATGATCTTCATTTGCGATTACCCGAGGGCCAGGGCCTAGCTCATATTAGTACCGTATACTAGCTAACCCTCCCATCTCGCAGCTTTCTCTGCCAGTACTCAAACGGCCGTTACCGTAATAGATCCCTCGAGACAAAGAACCGAACCTTAATATTACTATGACCTATCCCTCTTACTGCCTCGAAATACATATAAAGGGTAATAAAAAGGAGGAAATAGGGATTAGCCGCGGGGTTCTTTGGACTTGGCGCAAAGTCTTGCTAGTTCCTGGGCTCTGGATCTTGAAGCACTCTTTAAATCTTCTCTCGTATTATCCAGACCGTAATATCTCTTCTATAGTAGATTATAACTATAGTAGAAGAATTCCCCGTAATTAGCGAGATGCTTTTGATTTGCTAAGAAGTCTTTGTACTTCCCGAGCTCTACTATTATTATGGTATTATTTACGAAATAATAAATAACCTAATTACGTAATTCCTCAAATTTCTTTTCTAGGTCTTCTATAAGAATATAGTCTATATCTGTCTGGCGGCCTGTTTTAGAGCTTTCGAAGCGTACTTTATACTTCGCATATCTCATAATATCTAATCCCGTTATAACCATTTTCTCTTTAACCTATAAGAGGCTGGTATTAACTTGCGCTTCCCGCTATATGAGTTCCCCAAGATCCTGGCTACTTGAGGCTCTTGCCCCGGCTAGTATAGCTTGAATCTTCTTCTGCTCGGCCTCGAGTTTCTCTTTCTTTTTCTCTAGCTATATTAGGCGGTTCGTTTTAAATAGTTATGCCTTTAATAACCTTATATGCTTGTCTTTATTATTGATCTCAAGCTTTAGGCTTACTAACTCTCTTTCCATCTCCTTAATAGATTACTATACTGCTTCTAGGTCTTTTTCTAGGCCGGTTACTTGGCTTTTCGAGGTCTCTAGCCTCTTATTAACTTTAGCCTTGGCTGATTTCAGATCCTTAATATACGAGCTTAATACTTGCCTTAAGTCTTCTAAGTCCTGTCTCGTCTTCTCTAGTTCCGCTTGTATATTATCTTTTGCTTATAATACTATTCTTAAATTATTCAATTCTGTTTCCAGGCTATAAACTTATTCTGCCTCTTTTCGTAAGGTTTCAGTATCTGCCTTGACCATATTCAATTCTATTATAAGCTCTGTAATAGCTACCTTCCCTTACTAGAGTAGTACTTTATTCTCTGCCTTGGCTATATCTAGTTCTCCTTTAAGAGTGCTTGTGAGTTCTATATCTCTCTGCGTGGCGTTACATACTGTTTTTAGGCTTTCTCCGAGGTCCCTAGTAGCTACTTATTCTTACTATAACTGCTTCTTTACCTCTACGAGCTCCTCCTCGAGCCATTCGACACATTCTGCCTTTTGCCGTTAGCTTTCGGCGGCTGCCCTTGCTATATCTAGTTCTGCTTAGAGGTTATGGATAGCCTGACCTTCTTGTTCTAAGACTTCTGCCCGTCTGCTTACGACTGCGAGTATTTGCTTGAGATCAGGGGTCTCTGTTTCGATGCCAGTTCCCGTTCCATCTGCAATAGCGAGCCGCTCGCCCGGAACCAGCTTCTGCCATTCGAGAATCTTTATGCGAGCATTTTTATTATACGCCAGGTTATTCTGGCTATAGAGAGCAATAAACTTGGCGATCGACTTTTTTAGGTCCTTAATCTCATTAACCTGCGCTCCCGCTGCAGGAAGATCTTCAAATTAAAGTTCGTCTGAATGGATAGTCTCGCAATTACCGTCTTTATAGTTCTGCTCAAGCTGGAGTCGTCCTATAAAGGCTATACTTATCTTCTCTATTCCTTCTCTAGTCTCCTTAATCTTTGCAAGTATTATATTCAAGGTCCTGCCCTTAATAGTGGCTACCTTTTTGGAATTCCTTAGGTCTTTGGCCTGCTATTGACTAACGAGCTCTAATTCGGTAACTCTTTCTTGGAAGCCTTGAGATATTGCTCCGGCATTAATATCTTCTGGCCTTTATAAGTCACCCCTCTCCTATTAAATAATTCTCGACTATAGTACCTCTAATTCTGCCGTTGCTTGTTGTGAATGTGTGGCAAGTTACTATTGTAATGACTCTGCTACTAATGCTTGCCTATTACTCTTAGACTTATACTCCGAGATCCTATGCTCGAATTCTGCGATCATAAAACGAGATTTCTCTAATTTAATCGCCATCTCTCGTTCGTCTTGGTACTGCTTTGCTTATACAACTTGCATTTCACGAGCAGATTCATGACCTGCGATTGTCCTTTCAAGAGTCTCTATCTTCCGCTGCTTCTCAGCCAATTCGAGATGTGCTTGCGAATTTTTGCGTGACTGATCAAGGTTGATGGTCTCCAATTCTTCAATCTTGTTTCGGTACGGCTGAACCTCGGCAAGTTACGGGCTCCTTTAAGGACGATGCTGCAACTATAATTTTTTTTCGCAAAATCAAAATTACGATATTTTAAAAATGTGCTATTATTAATAGTCTAGCTAATTTCTATGGTAGAATATAATTAAAATAGTCGATCTATATGGTGTTTTATCGCATTCCATGGTAGGAATGCAATAGGGTAGGAAAAATTAATAAAATACACGTGATATGCCCCCTGGCCTACTAGCCATCTGGCACACTTCGTTTATACTTTTGTTCCTACGTTATTATTTCTAATACTATTGATCTATTATTATTAAACTCTTTATAATGGGTCGTTTCAAGATTAATATTATGTGCTATTAAGCCCATATTCTTTGTTTAATTAAGCAGTAGCTATTACATGAGACTATTATGGAGAGGTTAAAGCATGACTTTGACGTTAATATTTCCCTGAGAACGCTATATAGTAGGCTTTCCGAATGGAAAACGCCCTCTAAACGTTCGATATTTAATCCTTTGCCGCAGGTAAAGGGTCTTATTACCTGGTTCTTTTGTAATATCCATATGACTAATGCTAATATACTTACTAACCTCCGGAGCTTAGGATATGACATTCCTAATCTATGACTATTATAACAAGCTCGCCGGGCTATGGGCCTTCGATGTCGAATACTTAATTCGCAAGTTGAGCTAGAAAAGGAGTAACTTCGCCATATCCTCAAGTAATATATAGTGGATAAAGGCCCATAAGGCAATACTAGAAGTTATGGCTGCCGGCTTCTATATACTTATCTCAACTTCCTAGGGAATAGCCAGAAGTTTTCTAGGAATAGAATAGCTTCTGTAATATAGGAAATTAATCCAGAAAGTATATAACGTCGCTCGGAAGAGATAAAGGCAGCTAGGGGGGAATATAATATTTATGGGCCGAACTTTATTTAGTCTATTAATGGCTATTATAAGGTAAGTATAGTATATACTTAACTTCAAAAATCATTATCTTAATAACTACTAATCCGTTTACTTAGCTATGATTTTGTGGGATTGAGATATATACTAGTATTAATGCCTACTTACGGTTTGTACCTTGGATTTATATTGGAATCTCAAATAGTTATACTATAAGTAGTAGTATTTCCTAATTCGGTATGAATATATTCCCTTGAAAATGCCAAAATTCACTTAGTTATAATTCCGGCTATGTAATTCTGTAGTATTATAAAGAACTAGTTATTTGAAAAACCCTTAATTTAGGCAATAAACCCCCTGAATCTCTATACTACATTCTCCTTTAGGCTAATTAATATCATACTAATATATACTTACTTATACTACTTTCCAGGTTACTATCCTAGTATAATACCTTGACTTAGTAGACGAAATAGAGGTTATTCCGCTCTATATTTGATTGGATAGAGGATGCGAAATACCCATAGTTACTAATGCCTATTATATCCTCTATAAAGCAACGTGCCAAATAAGGGATATTAATCCATATTAGTTCTCAGATCTCTATTAGTTCGGGACTAGTATAGCTAATTAACGAATTAAGATATGGTGGGGGCAAGTTGTAAAGGTAATTTATTTATACTAATCCCATATAGACTTATTTAATTAGCTAATATTATATAGGGCATACTAAATAAATGGAAGATATTTTTCAAGTAACTATGCTCTTAAAGGCTTTACTCCCGCAAACTTCTCCCTGACTATATTGCTATGCTTTTCGTCTATTTACCTATTATACGGGAGTAAACTAAGGAGTTTATCCGGGTTTGGAATATCTATTTAATTAGGAAATAGCCTAATTATCTATATATTGTCCCTGGTTAACTATTCCAGAACTATATGTTTTCAGAGCAGATAGGGGTCAGGGACTACGGGATTCCTATTAATATTAATAAACTAAACGAGCTATGTAAAGGATATGCTAGCTATAATAAAGATATATATTTACTAGAGATTATACTTGAGTGGTATGAGCAAGAGCTTAAGAATACCGGCTTTATACTTCTAATTACGGAGTCTATACGTAACTCGAATGGGGATCTGAACTACCTGAGTACGTATATATATCTAAGGGAGTCAATTAGTGACTACCTAATTAATACGAAGAATACTCGTCCAAAGCTAGGGCTTTTATTAATACCTAAGGATATATATAATTAGAATTCATTACCAGAGGTAGCTGTGGGACTAGAAGAGGCAAGGCTAAAGAATTATAATAATCAAGATAGTATTTAGTTTATTAATAAAGGGAGAGACGCTAGCTATAGAGATAAAGATCTTACCTATATTAGCTCTAATAACGAAGCGGAGGTTAAAGATAATGCGGAGAATACTAGATTTACTATAGATAGTATTACTTTTAATAGGGCAAATAGTAATTAGGTCATAAATAGTCAAGAGTATAGATAGTTTATAGATAATGGATACGTATCTGAGCCTGAAGCAGAGAAGGAGGATAATCTAGAAATTCCTCCTGTAAATATTAGTCGGTTTACCCGGCCTTAGAGAGGCTAAATAGGGACATATTAATATATATCCTAAAGAAAGAACTAGCTAAAAACATTAATTTTTGGTAAAGTAATTAATTACAGAAGCTAATAGTAGTCTGCTTAATTAGTTAAATTCATATAGTTATAGGTGGTTTAATGTCAAAAGGTTATATGATTTACCTCGTTAGAAAATCGACCGTTGCCCCTTTATTTTCCATACCCCCTATAATTATTTTATTAACTTGTTATTTTAGTAGTAAGGAGTCTATAGTATAGATTAAATTCTCCGTTAATACTAGCTCTATTGAATTAATAGTTCTTGAGAACTTTTGAAGTAATTATAAGATATATTTAGTAAAAATATCTCTTTTTATATGGAATTTAGTTTCCCTCCCTTAATTTCTATAGCCCCTTACTTAATATTCTATAGCCCCTAGTATAGGAAACCATAGTTTATATAGGAATAATACTAGGGATAAATAAAATATGTCCGAATTTAACTTGTACTAAGGGGCATCCCTTATAGTCCTTCTATTTACCTCTTTTTATATATTAGTAATACGCTATTATTAATAACCTCCAAAATAAGTCTCTAATATATAAATTCCCTAGGGAAAAAGTTATAGGGGCATGGGCTAAAGGGTTAAAATAATATTAATATATTATAGTTCTATCCTGCTACTTGACTTTATACTACTATTTACTGAACTATAGATTTATTAGCTATACCCTCCTTCTAATATTTAATTATAAATCAGATCCTTATTATATTATCCCCAAATGTTTTTAATAAATAATCTCAATCTATAGAACTCTTGTTTTATACGGGAGGCACCATATCCTCCCTCTATGGTAAAGTATCTACTATGTGGTGCGATTAACCTAGTTACTTCTCCTCCTGCTCCTATTACTCTTACTTTAGCTATACTAACTATTATATTAGATAATACACTATTTTCTAGTTAAACTCAACTTCAGAATACTATTACCCAGCTATTAAGAGACCAAGGAGTCAATATCTCAGCTAATTCCTATCCTTTTTACTACTTCCCGGGTATGGATCTCTTAGAGGAGGTCCTTGAATCAGAAGTATATAAGAGGAGATAGCAGGCTAAGCTCGAGCGTTTAGAGCAATTACGTGGTAATTTCTATTAGGAAGCTCAGGGCGAAAGTGCGTATTTATCTATTTAACTCCTATATTAATACTAATTTTATTAGGTTTAGCCCTTAAAAGAAGTAAAGCCCTTGGTTCCCTTATTCTTAGCCAGGGGGCACGTATAAGGGCTTTTAGTAAGGGTAAATCGCTAATTCCTCCTGCTCCTATTATCGAAAAACGATATAAGGTCCTTATTTCTATTATATTACGTATATATGAAATAGAAGAACTAGAGAGTAGCTTTACTAGGAGAAGTATACCTGTTTTAACTATAAAGAAGTTCCTTAGCTTAGAAGAGTATCGGGAGGCTCAAAATATTCAAATTAAGCTATAGATAGTAAAATAGTTTAATACGTATATAAAGCTTATTTATAGAAATATATACCTCTTTACTAATATGGTACTTTATTATAGTCAAGAACTATTATATAAGGAGTTCGCTATGTATTTAGCCAAGGCTTTTTTATTATTAATTCCGTTACTTGAAGACTAGGAGCTTAATTAATGGATTACGATCTTGGAACGCGTAAATGGGGTGTCTTTTGCTACTAAAGTAAGCTATTATTTATTAGTATCCTAATATAATTAGTACTAATATAATCAGGTATGGCTAAAGGATAAAAACAAGAGGATTGACCATATAACTAATCTGATATATGGAGCTGAAAATACTATTAATGGCTTATTATCCTACTTTAGCCAATTAAATAAGAGAACGCCAAAGTATATTTATCTTATATTTAATTAAGATATTAATAAAATTCAGGCAAGAGACGACGAGATTCAGGATAAGCGTGAAAGAAGGGATAGAGAGATGCCTTACCTCCTAGATTTTAGCCCCCTATTAGGAGACTTTCCCGATACCACCCCTAATATAGTATCTATATCTATAGTTATATCTACGGCATCTTCTTTACCTGCTTTGACTCCTAATTAACAGATCGAAGCTATATGGGAGAAGGTTGCTCCTTTAAAGAATTAGTCAGATGACGACCTGAATTCTAACGATTTTAATTCAGACGACGATATGCCTATACTAGAAGCTAGAATTACGGTTTCTCCTGCTCCTGCTCCTACTCCTGATCCTACTCCTGCTCCTGCTCCTGCTCCTGCTTCTATACCTAGTAAGTTAATAGATTTAAATATACTAGTAGATCTGACGTTTTTACTAGCGTTTGCTCCCGCTCCCGCTCCACCCACTCAACGTCCTCTAAAGTCTATATTAAAGAGGAAGCGGGAGGTGATTATATCAAGTAATGACGACGATAATTCAGATCTTGACGATGGAGAGAAGGAATTACCAGGGGATAGTAATTATAGGCCGGGGAATAGGCATAGGGATAATCGGGGGCAGTTCAAAAAAGCGAGAACAGAGTAATACTACTGGATACATTTGACTATAATGCATGGGAGTTGCGTATTTGGCCATAATTAGGTGTGTTTTCCATATAAAATGTGGCCATTAAATAAATCGCGATTCATCGTAATTTTGATTTTGCGAAAAAAATTATAGTTGCAGCATCGTCGCTAAATCAGCCCGTACAAGTAGCCGTTCAGAATTTGTCTGAGCCTCTGACAACTTTACCTTGTAATGAGAGATCTCTCTTTGTTGTTCCGCGACCTGTCTTTCACACTCTTCTAGGCGCGATGTGAGTGCGGCATCTTGAGCTGCATCCCTGACCGACCTGCTCGTCTGGGCTTGACTCGTCGCTTGATGAGTCTGATCATAGTCACGTTGCTGTTGTGATGCGCCACGAGTATCCACAGCTACCCCCTCCATCCTGTTGCCATGACGACCGGCCTCAGGAGGTAGTAGTGGGATGCGAAAGAAAGAGAGCGCAATGCCTCGCTTAACAAATAAATCTGTGACGTACTTACCACTCTCCGGTATTTCACAAATATTGTGCAAGAAGAAATAAGGAGCGCAATCTTGGAGTGCCTGGTTGTGTGGTCTCCCATACCGTTGTTTTACCTTGACATTCGAGAGCGTGGTAGTCCAGACCGGTGGCCTAAGGAGTTCTTGCTGCCTACCACTGATACGGGTTAGAAGCTGGCAGTGGCCTGTGATTTCTGATTCGAGATCATAATCGTATCTGGCCGGCGGCCTAGCTATCGTGAGCATGTTCCTGGCATGCTCTCGATCTGCGTCAGCGTTGAGAATGCTAGTAATCGCATTGGACCTGAATCCAAGGGCGTTCGCGAGCCTGGCAAATTCAAGGAGGCATTGGGGGTCTGGGCCAATACTCGGCACCTTTTGTTTGTTATCCGACTTCGGGACGAGGTTTGTAAGGCGATGAAAATTGCGCATGGCGAACATCCATAGTTGGACGTACGCTATCTCAAATCTCTCGTCGTCGCCCGTCCGTGTATCGCCATATTCGGTCAACCCATCGGCGCTCTCTAACACTATGTAGTCTCCTCCATATCCACGCCACATGTGTTGCATTGCCTCTCTCAAGTGACACTCTGTTGGGTCGATGAGCGTCCGCATTGCTTTCGTACAGTCTTCCAGGTATAAGGAATCCTTGGCGAGCGTCTTGATCGAGGGGATCATCCCATCAATAGCGATAACGTTCTGTAGCAGTCCTAATCTTTTGACATCATTATACAACAATGGAAATGCACTTTTGCTCTCGATAGCTCGGGTAATGAAGTCTCTGTCGGCTGATGACGTTTTGGGGGCCCTCCCTTCAAACAGCTCCACGGTCTCAGGATCTAGATTATATATAAGCTCTTCGTCACCGTCGAGTATGGAGGTCCAGACGTGCTTAATGCGGTCTAAATATCGTATCAGTTCCTGAGATGGCATGTTAGCGTTGCGCATGCCAAGAGAATTATGCCTACTTCATCACATCTGAGCGATTTATACCGGTGTAAAGTGCCTTTCTGAAAAGATGCCCAGAGACCGACAAATGGTCTTAGAGATGTGAAGCCCTTGTACAAAGCTGGCCTCTTCTCCATGGCTTTGAGGTCATTCTCCGCGTCCTTCGACCGCCACGCCGTCCTCCAGTCAGGCTCCGCATCCAGGAATCGGAAGACGGTCCCATCGTCGTGTGGAATCGACTCGATATTACGGTCTTGCTCTTGCACACGACACTTGTTGTCCCATCTCTCTGTACTGCTATGAGATTCACTTATATCAGCGTTGAAGGCTTATACGTACCTTTATCATAGAGCTCGACCGCCCACCACTCATTGTGCGGATAGATATGCTGCTTTGCAGCTTCTAATCGATGCTGTCCATGATAATGCGTCAAAAGAGCGCCTTCCGGAAGGTGAAGACGCTTGATGTGCCCCGCGTCGTGAAGATCACTGATCGTCAATTCGGACCGGGCTAGGGCGGCAGCAAGAACCGGCTGAGAAATTTCGGCCTTGATACGGTTTCCGCAGACGTTCGGAAAGCATCCTCGAAGTCTGAATTCTCTTAGCCAGTACTCGGTCTTTCTTGGCTGGAGTGGAATTCGGGGCCTTCCTTCAGGAGGTTGATATGATAGGTTCTCCAGCATGACCAGGGCTACGCCGAGGCGCGCTGTCTCGCGGGAGCGATCCAGGGATTCGGCATCATCAGGGAACGCCGTCTGGCTAGACATCTCATGTACTTACTCATAGACAAAGGCAGGCAGATCATAGTTTCAGCACGTGGATTTAGTGGCTGTTATGTCTTGTTTGCATTTGTATCTTCCTTACCCTAGACTAGAATCTATTTCTGGACCATAATAATGTTTGGCCATTCGCTACCGCTGCACTTTATTAGTCTGGGAATTTTCCGCAAGTAGAATATTCTACCCCAGGTGTCAGCAGAGCACGGTATTCTGCTAGCAGAATATTCTGAGGGCAGGAATATTCTACGCATGGTTTCAGCCGTATTTCAGAGTATTCTGTCAGCAGAATATTCTACTCAAGATGTCAGCCGAATCTTAGAGTATTCCGCCAGCAGAATATTCTGCGTACAGGAATATTCTGCCAGCTGGAATATTCTGCCCAAAATGTCAGCCAAATCTCAGAGTATTCCCCCAGCAGAATATTCTACGTGCAGGAATATTCTGCCAGCTGGAATATTCTGCCCAAATGTCAGCCAAATCTCGGAGTATTCCGCTAGTAGAATATTCTGCTGGTGGGAATATTCTGCTGGCGGGAATATTCTGAGGCGCCAACGGAATACCCTACCCAAAGAGTCTCAGAAATTTCCGTGAGAATATTCCAATATGTTATTAATCGGGATTGAAATTCGTTCAGTCACAGTGCAAGCTGATGTTTGCTGCTCTTGTCTTTCCCGCCCGCGCAAGAATTCTACGTGATACGATAGTAGATTCAGCCCTCATTTTGCTTATCAATAAGTCCTTATCACCTCTCTCCGTTTTGTTGCCCAGACTGTTGGCAAACTTTCGAGGGCGGTGGACCAAACAGGCACATGCATGGCGGGGTAAGGGTTAATTAAGGTTAGCGGAACGGCCCGCGATAAGCGAGTCCTTCCCAGCAAATCAGCGCACAGACAGCGAATTGTGCAGTTTAGTCTGAGCGAGCGCCGTCTTCCCAAAGTTTTGATGACGAGGAGTCATCTGTCATTAATTTGCCATAGGTTTATAGGTGTTTCGAATTATATGCTGACTCTATGCTATACTTCAAATAGACTAGGATTCTATAAAACCCGGCGCTGCCTCGTTAGCCAAATGGCAGGCAACAAGATGATGCCTACCTCAGAAGCGATATCTAGGCGAGCCACGGGTATATGGCGCTTGAGAGGTATAGACCAAGACCAGAATGTCGAAAAGGAGTCATTAGCTATTAAGCAACCAACTATCGCCTCAGATCCTGCTCTCAACTACGATCATGTTGATGGTAGCTTTGAGTTCGGGGGCATCCGAGTAAGGCTCGTGACATACAAGTCAATACCGGGCGTTATTCAGATTAATGCCTCGAAGACTATAAGCGAATGGAATACATTACGTATACTCAAACATATTAATATTGTCGGCTTTGATGATAGCAACCCCAGTATCAGCCATTGGCTACCTACTAACGCCGATGACCACGAGGATGATCCCAAAGGACGGTGTGAGCTATATATCTCGAAACCCCTATTATCTGTCACCGTTGTAGCAGCGGCAGCCCAATATCCATGGTCTGTCTTAGACGCGCATAGGATGTGCAAAGATGTAGGTTAAGTCAAAGAGGCTGCGGGATACTTTGTGCTGACTAGTAGAGATCTTGAATGTACTCAAGTTTCTAGCTGATTATAACCTGTCTCGTGGTGATTTTACCACTGATTATGTACTAGTTACTGGAGAAGGATTTAAGCTTGGTGAGTCCTAGAATATCGCCACTTGAGATTATACTGAGAATAATCCAGCAAATATTCACCTTTGTGAAGCTGTGAAGGCCAATACTAATGTACGAGATCTTCGGTCAGTTGGACAAATATTAAGAGATGTCTTGATTGGGAAGAGCCGCGTCCCAGAAAACGTAGAGTGGCTCGACTTCTATACTATTATGATGGAGGAGATAGCTTTCAACGCGTATCGTGATATTTTGCCTCGACTGCTCTTTGAATACTGGCCAAAAAGTAGCGGAGAGTATGAAACGACATCTCAGGATAACAGACTTCGCGGAATCGCTTATCTAGTCAGCCAGAGGCAACGAAATACCTTCCAATAATAACCATCTCTGTAATATCAGGTATTACGTAGGGTTACTACACATGTCTTGATTTCATTAGATAGCTTGGGACTAGGATTATTTGGTAGGAGCATTAGAAATGGAATATGTGCAATCTATATACGTTATGTTTAGTATTTGCTGGGTGCAAAGCAAGGTTGACTTATACTAAGATCCCAAAAGAGTATGTAATTCGACTATATAATAGAAATGATTTATATTCCGAATATACATTAAACGCCTCTTAAAAAAAATCTCTATCCTCCTTACGCTCCAAAGGTAGATCCAGATCTTCCTCGTTCCCTTTAATCTCAAGTCCTCTTGGGTGAACGAGAACAGGCTTTATAAACTGACAAAGTTGAGAACCTGCTATCTAAAGTAAGCTAATTGCGATATACGAAGCTTTTAATAAGGGTTTGGACCTTTGGTATTATTAGTTTCCAAACGCAAGGCCTTTAACGCCGCGTGGAACGGGCCTTTACTAAGCGGTTCCCACGTTGTATTTATATTATAAGCTATATAGGACCTCCACTCATTTAACAGCTCGCGTATAAATAGCTCGCTATGCTCTAGGAGCGATATTGGTAGTATTAAGTAGCTAATAGTCTTCTTGAAATTAAAGAATTCATAATGGCCAGCTAATACATCGAGGCCAAAGTCCTTTTTGAGCAGCTATATTACAGAGTAAGTATCCGAAAAAAGACAGTATTATAGTATAATCCACGAAATTATGCTTATCCGAAGAAGCTTAAGAAGAACGGTAATAAATAGTAATAAATAAGGTTCCTTACATTTTTTATACTACTAATATAATTCTTTTGAGGTAGCGGACTACTAAGAGGGTCTAGTTTGTATCTCTAGTTATACCAGAAGTCGTTATGTCTAGATTCATGAGTTCCCGAGTCGGCTATAGTATTAAGGAGTTATTTATGAGGATTAAGCTTAATTATTATTAAAAATTCGGTGATCTCATTAAATATATAATAGTCAACTAGCCAGTATTATTCTTGGAAGCAAGAATATTCCTATTCCTATTAAGGTATTAACTCGGCCATATGCGCTTCAAAGATCTTGTCTTTAATTATCTTAAGGACTTCTACTAGTAAGCTTATTATAGGTACTAATTCCCTATACTTGTGGCATAATTACAGTGTTTGAAATAATGGTTTGTATATATTATAAGTCTCAAGGTAATTTCTTATTTTTATAGGATTAATCTCATATGCCCATATAATGGCCGGATCCTTATAGTAGACACGTGCCATATCGCAGTTTACTAAAGGAATTCTGCTATAATAGTACTATTATCTTTAGTCTTGCGTGGCTACTAGTTATTTCATACGTGTAAAGTAATAGCAGAAGGCTCAGATAACATGCTATGCTAGGGAAAGCCGTTATTAATATAATCCGTAAGTTAAGATAATATATTAGAAACGAGCCCTAGAATAAAGCGGTTATTAATATGGTCCATAAGGCAATAGAGACAATTATATAGATTAGTCAGGGGTTTGATCTATTATCTTAACGCACTTATTATTATCTAGTTATAGCTAGCTTTGGTAATTTAATATCTCTATTAATCCTATTAGCTCTATATTAAGGAAAATTACCTGAAATAAACTTGGGAAATCTTAGACATATCTATATATAGATATATTACTTCTAAGAATAAATTTCCGTAAGGCTTTATATATATATTTTTATAAGTATATCTTTAAATATTAAAGAACTATCTCTCCTGGCTAAGATATAATAGATATTATAACTACTACTATAATTATTCCTAGAGGTGTACTTCTCGGGATTATAATCTTAGCCTTTTTATAATACTACTTATGAAATAATTCCCTTTCTTATATTAACTCCCGTTATCTCAAGTTCTTTGCTCGCAAATATGCCTCTAATTATCTACTCTATTAATATCTTAGAAGTATGGGTATTACTATACTGCTTTATCTAATTAGTCTTCTCTTTATAATAGTAATTAATGCCATAGTTCTTGCTATTTCTAAGAGCAAAGTAGTACTAATAAAATAATCCGGCAAAGCTTTTTTAATTAATCTGATTTTGCTCTTAGTATATGGCAGACCTAACGTATTCTCTAAATACGTCTATATATTATAGTAGTTTAAGAATTTCATTTACAGATGGCTTAGTATTATTACTATAGTCAAATGTACTATTTACTTAATAGCTGCTTTGAGTCCGATTTGCTCTGGCACACATTCTTTCACATCTATATTAAGTATTATAGGTCTTACTATAAGTTATAATCAAATCTGGTTAAAAGTTCCCATACTAAAAACATACTTCAGGCCGCTATTAGTATAGCTATCTTGGGTATATTTTTATTACTATTCATTTAGCGCCATATATATAAATTGTTTCTAAGTACCCATATAGCCTTAACTATTATTATAATTATTATAATCTTCTTATATCTCGCCCCTTTTAATTTTTCATAACTATTAATTATCCTCTTTATTATTACAGGCTTGCTATATACTATACTTATTATAATTCGAATAGGAATCTCTCTATAAAATAAAGCCAAAGTCAGGATCTTTAAAGAAAATGGATTACTAAAGGCTAAAATTACCTTGGCTAAGCCTCGTTAAATTAGTACGGGCTAATATGTCTTCTTGCGAGTTCCTTCTATATTAGTACTCTCTATTAATAAATTATATTCCTTTTTTATAGTATTATAGGATTAGGATAGGAATAATAAGGCCAGGAATATTACTACTCTTATCTAGTAATAAAAGGGATTTATTTGGCTTCTCTAGGCATAACCTATAGTAATAAGAGCCTTTCTTAAAGGCCTATACGGGGAGTTATCCTTAGCCAAGAATTACGGTAATATTATCCTCTTTATATCAGGGATTAGTATTACGGCTTATTTAGGATATATTAAGTAATTACTTAATATCCGAGATTAAGGGCCTACTAGAACTCAAGTAATAAGTCTTTTATAGGAGGTTAACGAGATTAAGCCGTGGGATACGGCTATTAAGATAGTATATAAGCTACTTAATTAAGATATAGACTAATATAATAGGGAGATACCTAATTAGAAAAATATAAGGAATTAATTTGTGAGCTCTATTAACTAGTACCATAGTACATATAGCTAACCCTTGCGGACTAGGTCTTTTAATATATTATGTTTATTTAATACTACGAGCTTAACTAGCCTGAGAAATCTAGTAAATTAATAAGAGGTTATTAATACTAGAAATTTGGGGCTTTGAATGCTACTAGTACGCTTATGCAGGAACTAACTAATATAGAAGTTCAGGGCTAGTGCCTTATATATACTTTAATCTCTAGTAGGTAGTTCTATAATTAGACAAGAAATATACTAACTAAGTATAGTCTATACTAATCGTGAGATAACTAATATAATCCGGTTAGCTTATGCGAGTATACTTAAGGTAAAGGAAGCTAGGAGAGAGGAGGTCATATTATATACCTATAATTTTTATCTAGATACTTAAATTATAGTAATAGCTTCTATATATAATATTTAATTTTAATTATGTTTAAGTTCCTCGAAGATAGTATATATATAATAATAAAGTTGAGAATAGCTTATAGTAATATAAATATATATTAATTAGACAGTTTCAAATATCTAGGGAAATAACCTTATTATAATCTCCTATAAGAATATAGTTATATAGGGACTTTATACTTAATACTAGCTCCTTTTTATTAATCTAAAAACTTGCCCTATTTATGCTCCGAGTAGTATAATAAAAGTTTATAGCAATTAACCGAGCCCCAGGAATTACTAGCTTCGTACTAATAATTAATACTAGCTCCGGATATATTCTTAAATCATGCTTAGTAATTTCTAGAATCTCTTTATTATCTAGGTAAGGCTTGCTATATAAAAGTATATTAGGTCTTAGCCTACTAATTTTTAATAAACGCTTGCCCTTTAATATCCGGGCCTGGCTTCTTTATAAGTATCTTTAATAATATAGTAAATCGGAACCTTGGAACAGATATGGCTTATACTTATATACCCAGTTATATATCCCGTATTGGGCTTAATTAACTCGACTATAGAGGCATATTATCTTGGTATTAAGATTAGGTAATAGGCGCTTAATATAATTAATATTCTATATATAATACCAAAAATAAGGGCGAGTCTATATAAGCTTATCTATAATCTTATGGAAAGGCAAAGGCTCAGTCAAATCCAAATATAGGCATTTATATATATTACGGATTATAGAGTAGAAATTAGTTATCTCGTTAGAAGAGAAGTAGAGAAAGCGGTCAAACGAGGTCTATTTAGATTTCCGTATATTCTTAAAGGTAGGAACTAGGTAAATTAGTATTAATAAAGGGATTTATAAACGGGCTTTAACTTATAACCTATACTAATAGAAATACTAGCCCTGCTAATAATAATAATCTTTTTACTCGATTATACAAGCTCCCTTAATTAGCCAAGGTTATCCAGGGATTCACTAATAATCTAAAGTAATCCTCTTATTTTTGGGGCTCTTTTTCTAATTTAGTATTTCTCGTTAATTAGTCCCTGAGTAAAAGCCGTCTATTTAGGCGAATCCATATTATTATTAATTATAATTAGCCGGTCTATTCCACGATTAGCAAGGCTTTATAATACTATATCTAGATCTCCTATCTCGAGAACCCTCCGGTAGAAATGCCTGCCTTTTTACTAACTTGGAGCCCGTAATTATATTACCATATATCTTCTGAATTCTTTTCAAACTAATATTAGCATGGAGTATGTGTCTATTATTATAGTATCTTACCAAGTCGGATTCTGCAGATGCCATCTTCGCGATAAGATAGAGTAGGTAAGGGTATTTAGAAAAATAGAAAAGAGGCTAGGAGGGAAGTAGTTTAGAGAAGGGAGAATACTGCCTTCTTATACTTAAACGGAGGGTCGGATAGCACAGCTACAAAACCTCTAGGATCCATCCCACTAATACAGTTATATGAGCACTTTCATGCAATGCCTTTAGCTCGGAGGCATTAATTTATTAGAGAACGGGCAATGCCTGGGCCGTCGATTTCTTAATTAGGAATCCCCTTGCCAGGTAATAACATGCAGCGCTCCTTATATCAAATGCTCTCAGACTTAACGACCATGACTAATGCGTGCAGGCAGTGACTAACTACCAAGTCTTACGAGCTTTTGACTCTTGTTTCTATTCTATTTGGGAGTAGATATTATCGAATAGGTCCACAGGCTTCCTTCTTGACCAGACTTCCTAACTTCCCATTCTATCTCTACGGAGATATTACTCATGGCTAATAAAGTGAGCCATATTATTATTAATGCATTATATATAGTACGTAATCTGCCTTGAATTAAGCACAAGTCCTTGGAAAATGGCTAAGGCACCTTATAATAGCGAAGTCGAACCCTCGACCGAGGCTTCGGAGTCCTTCTAGTACAGATTACAAGAAAAGGCACGCTGCTAGGACATGGTATGCGCATGCTATCGTAGCCAGTATTCCGGAAGGATTCAAGTGGCTTAGCGAGAGTTAACGACGGTTTTAATTAATGGGGTATTACTTAAACTTGACTCTCAATTTTTCGCCATACTCTAGAATCGTGATTAGCAAGATAGATATAACTAACCAAACATGCTATAAGCCCATGACAGGCTTTGATTTCTTATCCTTACTTACATCTTCGCGAATCCTCAAGCTAGCGCTTTTTCCTATTCCATATTATCTTATCTTGACTTAATAATATTTTGAACTTCATTTGCGCGATAATTAACTCATAGAGGATAGTAGGACCTCATAGTTCGTGGATAATGAGATACTCGATTAATAGAGATACGAAGCTAATATGGCAGGTACTAGTTTAGATAAAGTAATATATGATAGAGAGTTAATAATAAATAGTATGGAAAACCTATATTAGTAATATTAGAGAAGAAAAGTATGTTTGGTAGGCAGTGTCTAATCTTAGCGCCAGAGCAAGGTACCATTATCACGTATAGTAATTTTTAATCAGAATCGGACCCGGCGAGTTTTAGCCAATTTGCAAAGCGAAAGTCCCCGAAGTACTAGCGTATTTCTAGTACTTGGCACCTAAAGCCAGTTACGGAGGGTCACGTATTATGATTTGGCACCTGCGCCCTAGAGGCGGCAAATTAAGCTCTAAATTAGGATAATATTAGTTAAAGCACCTTTAATTCGTTAGAGATAGTATAGTATTCAGTATCCTAAACTGGTTTCTTTTACGGAATAATAGAAAATATTTAATCCGTACCAAATCTCCCGGATACCGTATCTTCCGAAAGTAGCTTTTATTACGTATTAATTATGCAAAACTTGGGCCTAATTTAACGCGTAAATACTACTATATAAATTGTCTCTAAACCTGCCCAAAATCTAACCTTCAAGGCTCGCCCGAATATAGTACTAATACTTAAGTAAAAATCCTTATACTCAAGAAAGGAAGATATATTATTAGTAGTAATGCTATAACTATACTTGGGCCGGGGATAAAGATAAGGCTAGCGACGAGGCTAATAATAAGGCTAACGCTTGGATTTCTGAGAATTAACCCGTAAGAGGGAATTAATACCTCCTACTATAATTCTCTATATATTATCATTAATTATGACATACCTATGTTTTTGGGCTCGTGAAAGCGGATCCCGCTAGTAAAAGTAGGTATTTTCTATTCCGGTTATTATCTTTTCAGGGTCTTTGCTTTGTCCCCGTCTATAATGGCATCTTATCTCCTCTCTAAACTACGTCTAACCAGTCACCCAGCCTTCTGCTTATATAGTACCTTGCTAATTGAACTTCATATTTTATAATCACGTCCGGGTTCTCGCAATAACTCTTTCCCGAGCAGAAGCAAATAAACCTAAATATTCAAAGCCCTACCTGAGACATAGCTTATAGAAGTAATTCCGGTACTAAAAAGGAAATACTACGTATTAGATTATTATACATTAATCATATCCCGGATAGCTAGGTATGTTATATCTCGTTTATGGCTTGGACGTGTCTTTAATATAAGGCTAGAGATTATAACTATTATTTTTTGTTACGTATTATAATATATGCAGGGTCCTATACCACGATCAAAATTTAATCTTGTAATTCTGTCTTTATAACTTATTACATATTAAATAGTATAATCGAGTCTATTCTAGATATATCGAGATTTTAATTACTAACTATATATTTTCTTTACTTTTACTTTAGAGTCCAAATATCGTTCCATATATTAGTCCACTGGCCTAGGCCTATAGAATCTTTATTACGTAATGTACTGCCGCAATAAATACAAAATAATAGACAAAAGAAAGAAAGGTTAAGAACGTTTCTATTTAACTTTTCTAGAAGAAATTACTCTATTAGGAAGTCAAAGTAATTCAGTTAAGGAATATATTAAGAATTACCGCAAATGGGGCAAATAAACAAAATATGTATTATCTCGAGCATAATACTAGGTTACTAGTTATGTAATCAGAGAGGCTCTTCTAAGAAGCCCCTCCTCGCATAATTAATAGATTAGTGAAGTGCGAACTATTTCTCTAAAGGAGCCATACGAATAAGCGGCTCAAAAGGCATAATTTTCCGAATAGCCAAGACCAGAACTCTCTAGGATTTACAGGAACTAGCCTCTATATCTTCGTTAATACCTTCCCATTCCAAGCATACATTTGCCGTACCGCCAGAGTAAATGACCTGCATCTGGTTCAGGGTTCCCGTAACCTATAAATAGTCTAACTAAAGATTTGGTATAGGTCCCTTAAAGGCTTACGCAATATTATAGTACTCCGAGAATCGAATCTTGCCAGAGAAAATACCCAAAAGGTCGCCTGGAAATACGGGAATAATAGGAAAGATACTAACCAGTTTCTCGGCGCCAGGTCGAATTAATACAAAGAATAACTTATTTGTCCCCGATTCTATATACCTATCTTCTATAAGTCATTTCGGATTACTCTCGGTTAAGGTAGCTATATAACTGCTTATAAGCTTATATAATGCTTCTTCTTCGTCAGAGTACCACGTATTAGATCCATTATCCCAAGCTAATTCTGGTATACTTAGTATCTCGGTAATAAATATATATAGCAGGTCCAGCCTGCCTAAGAAGTTACCTTTGGCCTGCTCAAGCGCTCGGAGTTCGATCTGTCTAATATAGCCAGAATATACTTTTTCCCAGGATATAATAATATCTATTAGTTCTCTTAGAGAGTACTTCCTTTTAAGGAAGAACTTGCAATACTTATTGAATTTAGCATCTCAATAGAGCAGGATAGTTACTATACCAGTATTCTTCATATCACACAAATCCTTCCACTATAGTCGGTATCTTTACTAGTTTTCGTCACAAGTTCCAATACTAACCAGAGCAATAAATTCAGCCACTGCAGCCTTTTCCTATAGCGTATATCCGCCAGCAGGTCCTCTACCGGCGACAAGTAATAGTGGGTTAATGGTCTCGGCATGTCTCTTAATAATATCCTAGTAAAAGGCTTCCTCCCACGCTTTTTAAAGGCCAATGCCTATACTACCTGCTCCTGACTTCATAATTCTTTTAATTACTTTTTTAAAAGGTTTCTTTATAAGGTCGTTTTCGGTATACTTTTGGATTTCAGCCATATTTATTATGGTTCCTATATTTATTATTTAGAAGCCAGACCTACCGACCTGAATACGTATTTTCGCCACCTTTAGTAGTACAGATATCATAATATCCACTGCATCTTTAAATCATAGTATTTCCAACATACTTCCTTCCAAAAAGTAAGTTATTTGAGAGATTTAACCTAGGGCATCCGTAACATCAAGCATTAACGTGTCGTCTTCTGGTGCTACGCGGCCCTCCACGGCCATATCCAGCGATTATGAGAGAGATCTTTATGCTAAAATTTCGACTAGTTATCGAGACTCGTCCACGGAATCAATTAAGCCCAAGCCATCAATTGAGGGGACAATCTGCGACTTGCATCTGGAGTCCTCCGACTGCGCTTCAGATAATCTTCATTTGCGCTTCCGTTTATTTAGTCCATCCATTCCGGCATAGCTCACGACGGTATCAGATCCATCGGGATTTATCTACCGTAATGAAATTCGAGACCGTGTCGGAGGAGGAGAAGGTAGTAAAGATAGAGAAGTCGGCGGAGAGGTTGGGGCAGAGGAGAGAGGGGGTGATAACGACAAATAATGAGATATAGAAGGCGGCGACGTGGGAGATCGTTATAGCAAAGGGATGGCAGATTTTATAATAGTACCATTAATATCTTCGCCGCCGTCGTCGTTATCGTCAATACTTAGCGGGCAATTAGCAAAGTCACCAGGACGGCCCAGCTTAATTCAATATAAACGGGCTAAAGACGGTTAATTCGAACCTAATTACCTCTCAATACTACTAACCAAGTTTAAAAAACATGACCATCTCCTGCTATAGTATAGTATCATCGGTATCAGTAATGCCATTCTCCGCAAGTATGGCGCGAAACATGTTTCGCGTCTGCTCCGTGAATCGCGCGGCTCGTGAGGCCGCATTATCTGCTATAGAGGCCATACCACGAGAGAGAAGTAACGATAATACTAAGAGAAGTGATCTGGTAAATAATAATAGCGCTTATTCAAAGTATATAAAGGTATGGCAGCAGAATTGGCTGCTTGTTACAAAGGTACGGCAATTATTTTTAGAGCAACTTGCCGCCACTTCTAATCTTGGCAGGCTCCAAGCGCTAAGCGAACAAATATGGCTGTGAGAGTGGAACCGCAACCCATTATCGTAACTTCAACCACAAGCTGAAATTGCAATTCGAAGGCAAGAAAGACCACTACGAGCAGTGCAAGCACAGGCTTCTACCACTGAGGTTGCACAAATACTGCCAGTCTGGATCCCAAAACTTGTATTATAAGAGTTATAAAGAATAAGCATCCAGAGAGAAGTCTTTAAGCAATCCCAGACCTCGACATCTAACGTTATCCAATGTATATACAGCGCAGGCTAAATAATTTTCTATCTAGTAGATCCTCCGCTTCTCTAATAAGCATTAAGTCCTCAAACCTAAAGAGCCAATCTATCCCCCAGCACCCGTTAAGTCTCCAGTCTAAAAGTCCTCAGTTCTCACTATAGGATTATCTCGTCCCTTTCGGCCTTCACAGAGCAGAGATTTGGTGCCTCGTTTTAAGAAGCTAGCCGGTATATATCTCTCTGGCCTAGGATAACTCTAATCCTAAACTTTTTTTAGATTATAGGCCTTGGATCAAAAGACCGCTACTCACGACTTCTATCAAGCTAAGTAGCCAGGAAGGTCCATCTCTAGATAATCCTTTAGATATATAATTAAAGAGTTTTCCGTTCCTCCGTCCCAAAACGTAAATATTACAGCCAAACTCGCTCCTTAGCTCGTCTGCCTTTTCCATAAAGGTGATTTTCCTTCTCCGAAAATTATCTATTACGCCTTTTATCGAGCGCTATTGAGATCGCACCTTCTCCATGCTTCAAAGAGACCTAGAATATTCCTCCTAAGGTGTTATAGGCTATTTAATATAATAGTTCTCGAGCTCCCTTCGTGATATCCTCCAATAATAGAGAATACAACCCGCGTACATTTCACCTCTTCTCGATATATAATATCGGAGCTACATAGTTTTGCCTTCGAGTTCATCTTCTTAATTTCGGTCAGCGTTTAACTACGGGAGAGAAGAACGAAGTCTCACTAGATAATACAATGTCACAGCTAACATTAATAGTTATAGACTAAAGATAACTAAATCTTCTTTCCAAATTTTAGGGCAGAGCTAACGCTGTGACATTAATAGTTACAGACTAAAGATGACTAAATCTTCTTGCCATTTTCTAGGGCAGAGCTAACGCTGTGTGACATTAATAGTTACAGACTAAAAATAACTGAATCTTCTTGCCATTTTCTAGGGCAGAGCTGACTGCGAAAGCACAATTCTGAAATCAAGAGCGGAGATACGCAGATAGTTGGAAGCTTATATATTCGATAGGGAGGTGGGTGGATCTTTGATAGATACCAGGGTCGTGGTTCAATGAAATCCGTGATTGTTTTGCTAGCTAGCGGCCATAGCCGAAACAGGACAAGACCCCATTTCAAAGATAAAATTGCAAGTAATCTTAGTTAGCTATTTTAATCGCTTAATCTCTTCAGCTACTAATACGGTATGCGGACTCATACAGAAATGAGAACTTTTGGAATAGCTTTAGTATTGTCATCTCTCCAGTACTATCAACCATCCAGCCTTATCATATCTCTAGCAGGCTTCTTAGGCACTACGCGCTTCCAAAGATCCCGTACAAAAGCGCCCCCACCTTCAATCAATTCCATAAACGAAGTATGCTCCGAGATTATCTCGACATTAGCAGCCATATAAGGGGAAATCAACTTTCTCAACCCATCAATATCAGTTTCTAAATCTGGAGTCGAACTATCCAAATATGTATACCGTACAAGATCAATGATTTCTTGAACCTTGGACGCATCAAGGCAGAGCGTACTCAGCGTTTAGTATAGCTTAGATAGAACCAATATCTTCAGACTATTAACTCCCCATTTTTCCGCTAAGACATACAGGAAAGCATGAGCAAGAAGGACCTCACCACTGCTCTCAATTAGACCATCATTCATCGAGGACCTGCATGTATAAAGGTTAGATCGAGATTCGATAAGAGGATATTTGAGAGAATTAAACATATCGGATGCAGATATCGGTGGCTCTAGACCAGACCTATACAAATTAAGCGGGCCATTCTTGGATTTCTTCCTTTTCTTCGATCGATCTTTAAATAACTATTCGTCCTCGGGCTCTAGTGCGGAGGTACGGGATGCGGGAGGGGCTACGGAGGAACGGGGCGCAAAGGAAGATCCCCATCCATTAAGCACTCGAGGCTCTTGCGATAACGATTCTGCCTCCACAACCGCTTGAGCCGTAGAGCCCTTCGAGATCAAATAATCTCCTGTATAGGCGAACTGAGCAAACCGTATGAATATTCCTTTATCCACGTCCATCCACCTAGATTCGCCAGCTACGCTCTCTGCCATCTCTCCCCGCATGAGCGCAGCTAGTGCAGGGGATTGCTCTGCGAGTACCGCCTCGTGGACCACAATTGGAACCTCGTCGGGCCCGATAATAAACTTGAAAGGGCGAGAAATGAGTATCCTATAAGAGGGAGGTGTTAGTTCGTATAACTATGAAGCCTGCGAGGCAGTAGATTGCAAACCGTGGAAGATAGGACATATTCTTCAAACGTGGCCGGCATATTGACTTTGAGCTAAAGATAGGTATTTTGACTATTTAGTATCTGCCTTCAAAGAATAGGAGCGGTAATTATCGGAGAAATATGAGCATTGCAATTGTGGTGCGTTGATTCATTAACTCGCTTGGTTGCGTGAAGCTCCAAAGGCTCAGCTTATCGGCACGTGCAGCTGCTATCGTCGCGATGAAAGGAGGTTCGCTGACGGCCTTTGGTGGACAATTGCCGTGACCCTGCAAGGCTCTGCCAAGCCTCGCCGCAAAGGTCTCCTGCAACCCTTCCATAAACTCTTTCCGACCCACCCAACGTGGAAAGTCGAATCCTCGGATGCCTTCGTGCCAGCGGTTGAGGTCATCAAGCCTCAAGAGAAACGATTCCCCAAGCCAGACCCCTTTTTGGCCTCCGTACCAGGATTCTGTGTTGGCTCCCATCCAGCTAATTGGAAGCCAGCACCAGAGGGGGGTTCCATATACTAAATATAGCCCTATCGTCATCACTATCGCCTTCGCCGAGTCTCTTGTCAAAGCATCGATTCCTTCACTAAAGTTATTCCAACGAGCAAAGTGTCAGTGAGTCCTTATATAGTAGATTTTGCAATAAGGAACCAAAAAATAAAAGTCATAATCTTTGCCTTATATCGAAGCCACGTCCAAGCCACACACGCTACGTGCCAGCAACCCGGGATGCGACCCCCTTATGATGTCCAACAAATTGATTTTATTTCTCACGTGATAACCCACTGAGTAATGCTTCAATTTTATTACCGACGGGCCCAATAACGGCTCATATGCATTTGCCGGGATCTTCAATCTCGACCTAGCAGGTAGGAGGTCCAAAGGAGGAATAATGCCAGACAGAGGGAGGTTGCGGTGGGCAAGCTCATAGAACGGAACTGAATTGCCTACGGCCGAAGCAATTGACTTTTAGACACATTTTCTCGATAACTCGGCTCCCATAGCCTCTTTCCCCTTCCCAATCCCCTATTAAGCACCACCATATTTAATGCTGGACTAGCTAGAGCCTTTTGTAGAGTTCGCTTTCTTCTTAATCTTGTTCTTCTTGCGCTTGGGTTTATACGAGCAGTCCCCCCGTTTGTTTGGGTCACGGTAGACATTATTGCCAGGTCTAGCCGTGGCGTCATCAGTAATGTGGACTGCTCCCAATATGCAGACTTGCCTGTTGTAATAGAGTCGCCAATAATCGATACTTGGAGTAAAGTACCCTATGGGCTAATGTAAATGTTATTATGCCGCAGATTTCCAAGGAACGGGTGTAGCGAGGCCAAAGACTGCAAAAGGTCGAAATTTACCTTCTTGTGGATCAAGTTGGTTTGTCGACAAGGTAGCCACTGTTGAATAGCAACCAGCCAAAACCTCTGCAAGATAGATTTGATAACCATGATTTAGAGGATAATACATTGAATAGTGAAGAATTAGTAATCTTGTCTGCGAACTGACTTGAGGACCAGGCATTATAAGAAACTCATGCTCATATTATGCTGTTTATGTTCGAGACACGGTGGTTGGGCCAATCACCAGTAGCAGTCTCGGTTTTCTAACAAAGCACCAAGAAGGTTGCAAAGATGTAACAAAACATCTGCAGGCAACGCGCTTCTGCATGGATTAAACAAGCCACTGTAGGAAGCTGCGAACCAACGACACGGTAACTTACTGAGGCCATTAGCGGGCTAGCGGACAAATCCGAGAAGCGAAAAGTGATTTTCTGATTTTCTGATTTTCTGATTTTCGCGCCCACATTCGAATATGATGAATATCATTATTCTTCTCTGGCTCCCCGGGAAAATTTATGATATATCAATATCTTCCGTTTAAATTATCGCGAATATATTTAATATCTATATTATTATTATCATTTCAAATATAAAAAATAATTGAATTATGATTAGGATAATTCAGACCTTTCGGAGCGAGATATAGACGTTTTGGGAAATATGATTTCGGAACTGACGAATATTCTATATCTTTCGCTCATATTTCTATCTATATTCCAGTCTTCCATTACCCCTTCCTCCAACATCGTCTCCTCCCATTCCTATGATCTCCTCTTCCCCTATTTCCTCTATATCTATTAAGCTCATTATATCCATCATACCTCCTATATCTCTCATTCCCTCTACCTCTACACGGAGCATTAGGTACCCTAAACGGAATGCCTGGTACGTTCGATTCCCCCCCAATCCTCATCAGCTCTTATTCCGCATATATGATATGAAAAAAAAAAACATCCACACCACACCCCCC